GCAGCCCCTTGTGAGCAAAAACATCAGGATGTGCACCTGTGTTTTGAAACACATCAAGACAGTGGTTTTCTAAGGGTAATGATATGAAACACAACTTGACAGGTCTCCCTTCACCTCTGTCCTGCGAGCTGGTATACTTCTTCACATACTTGATGCCCTGCCTTTGGGTGGTAATTTACTTTGTAAAATTCCAGATTTTTTTTTTTTTTTAATACAGTTTGTTCAAACTTCTAAGGTATGTCTAGGCACCTGTGACCTACCTTTGATGTTTTAGAGGCTCTATCTTATGCTACAAAGCAAAAAAAAACTCCAAAAATTTTTTAATTTATGTGTTTATTATCATAGGAGATAGTAGCTCTGGGCATGACACAAAGTGCCACTTTATTTGAATACAGCAACAGTCCAGAAAATTTCCAATAAAGTACAAAGTTCAAGGCAACGGGAAGATACATGAAGACAAAGCAGCACAATAATACTGTGTCATCACTGGCCCAAGTGAAACTCTCACTGACTGTTAGCAGATGTCCTCACTATTCAGTGAGTCTGCTGAGTACTTGCACATCTTCTGAGCGCTAACATAAAAAGGGGAAATGAGTAAGAAAGTCCATGGTTAATAGTCAGCAGTGAAATCGGATTGTCCCATCAGGGAATGCTGCTCTTAAGTGTTACAAAATGATAATGTAACCTTATTTCCAAAGATTTACTAAGAATGAAGAAACCCAGAGTGAGATTGTTTTTAATCCCTTTATAAAACTGGAGCATAGGCTTGCACAAGTCAGTGGTGTTACTTACCATCTTTGGCCTGGTCCCTTACATGCAGCTGTTACTTTACCACAGAGATTCCCACCTAAAGCAGCTTCTCTTCCTGTTAAAACCTTGTACAGTTTTACAACCCTCTTGGGTAGATTTTGTCAATCCATGAGTGGGACGAGGCTCAAGGGAGCTGTGTAAAGGGGATGCTTCAGTAGATGGCACTCTCCCTCTGAGTGAAGATGAGCAAATACCTCAGCCAAGGAATTTGATGGAGTGAGAGCAACTTCCTTTATACTCTACAGAAATTGCAATGGATGCAAACAAAGCTCTGCCTAGCTATACAATGAAGTAACCCCTGGCAGTTTTTCACAAATCTGGATCTATGAAGTCCTTACATCTGGCTTCCTCCCTGCTTAAATGACTATAGTCTCTTTCTGTTCAGCCTGAATACCTTCTGAAATCTTAATGGTGAATACATGCATACATACATACACACACAGATATATATTTTAAAATATATATTTATTTTATATATGTATTATATATATAGATATTTAAAAGAGCTCAGTAGTAATGTAAGTTACACACATCAGACTCCAGGTTTAGAACTGTTCTGCTTCCTCAACTATTTTTTTCTAATTCATTATTTTATTTTACTGTTCTGTCAATGGTAGATCCAGTTTAAGAACTTAGGTTTGTTGATTGTTTTTTGTTGTTCTTTTGAAGCCACAAAATTTCATATATCCAATGTAAAGAGCAGTCGCACTGAATTAGTACAAGTGAGGAGGCCTTAATTACAGGTATGGGGACAATAAATACCTGCTAGGCATTAGGAGAGCTATCACCTTTTAAATCAAATCTGTGGCTAACCAAGAAGTAATGCACAGCCATCATCTTACAGCTTTCTAAACTGCACAGTGTTTTCCTCACCCCTGAACAGAAGGGTGAGAGAAGAGAGTGAAAGAAACGTGTATAAGACAAAGGTTGCAATCAAAAAATTACATGGGACAAATTAATAATATGCAAATTTAATTATTTCAATTTTTTAAAGTTTTGGATTCTTGAGTAATTACGTTCTTTCAATTACTTTAAGTATCTCTTTTGTTATTTGACTGGCACACAAGTCAAATAAGACTCTATATGTTTTCAATCCCTGCCTCTCTCCTGTACACCCCCAAAATCCTTTTCCACTGATTAAAATCACAGTGATAACACTATTTCTAAAAGCCAGAACCTGGAGCGATCATTTTCTTCCTTTAAGAGGGAAGCATTTGCTACCATAGCGCAAATAAAGCTGTTGACCAATTTTTTCCAATATTCATGTCAAACCCTGAGGGTTTTTTGGGCCTGTTAGAATAAAAAGGCCCTAGGTAACATATGAAAGAGGAATATAAAGAGTATTTGTGCCCATCTCTCCAGTGCCAGTCAATTTTTGAGCAATCAAAAGTTATGCACTATTGCGAACTAGATAAAGGAATTTCTATTACAAGAAGTGGTTCAAGCAGTGGCATGCTGCATGAGTGAAATGGCAGATTTAGCGGTGAATAAATACATTTTTAGATTTTCTGTTCTTAATTCAAACAAAACAAACCTACTGTGAGTGTCGGATGCTTAACAGACTGCACCCAAAAGCAGTATTTTCTGTCCTTTGAAGAGAAGCTACACAGCAGATAAAATGCTGGACCAGTGGAAGCTCTCTGTTGAAAGTGCCATTTAGCTACAGCATTCATCTATTATTTAGCTAGTAGATTTAAACTTCCAAATACATTTTGTACAGAATTCCAAGTAGTCTTCATCCAGTAAGGTTACTACTCAAAAGTCTCTTTTGCACACAACTGAATGGAAATGGTTTGGAGAGGCTTTTTTTAACACTTTACAAAGGAACTGATTTTTTTTCCTCTGAAAAAAAATCAGGATGTAGGGCGTAAGGCTTCTACGATTTGGAACATGTTCTTTAGACGAATAAAAGCAAAATGGTTTAACACTATTACAGTACTACTAATTTCTTCCCCTTCTATTTCTGCAGTCCTGAGCTGACATTTTGTTCAATCACATAAGAAAACATATCTAGGTCATGAAACTAATCAAAAACATTGGGCTTATGGTTGTAACCTTTACCTTTACAGAAGCTATTGTGAATTTAGAAGACATCTGAAGATCCACAAACCAGCCTTCTACACTGGTGTTCAAGTAGTGGTTTCAAATCAAAGAAAAACAATTTCCTGACTGAATCATCAAACTAGGTATTGGGGATACCTGAGTTTTATGCCTTCAGGCAAATTACAGCCTAATTTTCAGGTGTGGTGTACTTCTTTAACTCCCATTTATTTCAAATGGAGTTAGAAGAGCTCAGCACCTCTGAAACTTGTTTTTAAACTATTTTGGGAATATCTTCCTTACAGATACATTGGAAAGCTGTTTTAATGTTTGTAATACATTTTGAAATGCTTAGTAAGAATATGTTGCAGAAATGCAGTCATTACTAACAAGTGTCTCATTGAAACAGTCCTGGTTTTTTCTCATCTCAGTGCAGTACAGTTCAAATTACCTTAAAAAAAAAAATCTCACAACAATTAAACCTTACAGTTCTGTAGACAGGACAGAGCAAGAGACAGAAGGTGCATGCAGTGGGTTCCCAGGGATCTGCTACCTCACTGCTTTTAGGATGGAAGCTGAAGGGTGGAAGATCATGAGCAAAAGGTGAAGAGCAAGCAGTGGCAGGTCCTGCTTCAGACCTGACAATCACGTGGGTTCCCTATACTTTAGAAGATTCCTACTGAAAGGATCCAGAAGATATGGTGAGAGAATACTAGCCTCACTTTTGATAATATTAAGAAGCCAGACAGAGATCAGAACTCAGTGGGCTTGCAGAGCTGGTCAAGGAAGTAGCCAGAAAAATCAAACTCTTGATTCTTTGTAAGGGATTGCATTGTGTAATAGAGGTCTCATACCTTTTGGTTTACCGGTGTAGGTGGGTTTATTTGTGCCGCATGGTATTTGTGTTCAGGAAAATTACATTGAGTAAGTAAGAGAAGAAATAGCAGTAACTGGATGGACCAGAGAAAGTTGGGTGCCCTGTTCGTCAGTGTTTGGAGATGGGTGCAGAACAAAGGGTTGATTTTCAAACATGATTTATTTAGAAACTTAAGATCTATTAAAGGACAATGAGGCTAAAACTTACCAATAAATGTATCAAATGCAATAGTTAGAATAAATCCATCAAATCCATGGATAAAGAGAAGTTAATAAAAGTAATCAACACTCAGCAGACCAGTACCTACTGGTTCCCTAATGAAGGTGATCTTGAATCAAACCAGATTTTACTGGAAATCTCAAGAATATTACAAATGTCACTTCATGCTACGTTAATTAGACCACAGTCATCTGTAAAACTGTTCAACCAAGGGTGGGCACATGCACCAGACTGGTGAGTTAAGCAAAAAGACAGAGCAAAAGAAGAAATGCTTTTTTTCCTTTTGCTACCTTTTTATGTGTGAAAACTGCAGATGATTTTTGCATACTCCCATTGCTAGCTTATCCAGTCCACTCTGCAGGATTTGCTTGACAGGAGGAAAACATAGTTCTAAATTCATTTGGCCGCTGTATTTTTTTTCAGTTTTCTATTCTTGCTGATTCGCAAAGTCTCAGTTGACTGAGTTATGAGCTGTTTGCCCAACAGGGCCTTTGTTCTGGTCTGTGCTTCAGCAAAAACTGGAAAAACCTGTTCGTGTGCTCCTTTTTTTTTTTTGATCTTCCTCTCCCATTGGCAGCTGCAGCTTGTACACATGCAGACAAGGTGGTGCCTACCTCTCATGTGGAAAGCTGCCTTACAAAAACTGAGGTTGCTTTTTCTATTATCCCAGAGCTTTTCTAGCCTCATGAAGGCTTTGGTGGATGCTCCAGGAGTTAAACTCTGTTTGTTCTTCACAAAATGTGTTTAGGTCATCATTTTATTTTTCTTCAAGCAAAGGGAGGGTGTTTGAGTGTGGCTCCCGTCCAGCCTTTTAAATAATATTTTGTAGACTAGGAGATCTGCAGAAACCAGCCTTGTTGTGCAATGTAGCTTTTTGGATGCAGAAACTTGTCTGCTTTACAGCAGCTGCACAGGGTGCAGTGTTAACATCTGCAAGACAGGACAAACACTGAGGCAGCAAGTTAGTGTGAAAAGTGGACAAGCTGAGAAGAAACTTTGTTTTCTATCTATCTCGTTCCTTTTCCTCTTGCTTTGTGCTGCTTTTGGAACAAGAATGGGTCAACTTTGTGGACGGTGCATACAGCTGCTGCGGGACTTCGTGGCCTTTGTTCAGAGGATGTCCTCCAACTTGGTGCAAGGCATCAAGGAATGCTTGACTCTGATAAGCAAATGCTCCTGCTTAAAACAAAAGAGCTCAAAAGCCAGACAGCTGTACAAGCCCATCCTGCAGCCTCATGAGAGAGTGACAGCACAGGAATTTCTGCTGCATATTGAAACAGGTAAGAGGGCTTGTTTCTTTCTAAAGGTTGTGGAAGAACAAGGAGATTCATTTTGTGGGTTGAAAACAGATTGCTGGCTGAACTGCTCTGGCATGGCATGAAGCAGCTTGGTGATGATGTAGGAAATGCCAGAGCTACAGAGCATTTTCTTTGTGTATGGGACACCAAGGGCTCAAGTAGCGTAACAGTTTTATCTAGGTAGAAATGGTCAGTCACTTTCTTGCTCTGCCACCACTGTTAATACATAACCCTTGTAAATATGTTTCATAGAAGTGAGTCCTTCTAGAAATTGAAGTTAATTTTTTAAAGTCAGTCGCTGAAGTCACAAAGCCAGTAACAGGCAGTACTAACACTGGATGCTACGTGGGTGCTGAGCTGTGAGCAGGCAAATCAGTGTGGTCCTAGCTGAGTTGTGCACACGCATGTTGGCTGGCTGCAGAACACCTGGACTTGCACTGGGGGTGTCTGTGCTATAGATAGGGAAGGTCAAAGTCGCCCTGGGACAAACACCATTGGGCTCCCAGGATTCCAAGCAACTGGTCTGCCTAAGTGCTTTTGTGCAAACATTTTAGACACAAGGCTTGAACGCAATCATGGGATTCTGCTTCAATCAAAGTAGATCCATAACTCTTCATGTATCTCCTCTGCTTTACAGGCTACCTGCCTAATTGCCCTGTATATCTACTTGTGATGTTTTCTCTATCCTGTCCTAGGATACAACAATATCAATAGGAAAACTTTTTTATTTCACTCCTGCAGTCACAGAATATCATCTCGGATGAGTGTATTTTGTCAGTTGTCCAACCTAAAAACATTCCTTGTCTCAAGCTTAGGCAGGGGCCATTGCTTGTTTGGTTTTGCTTTGTCCCAAAGCTAATTGGGTATATCGCTTTAACTTTAACAACCTTGGGCTAAAGCTACTACACAAAATTGCATAGCCTTCTACTTTCATTTGTGTGAAGGGTGTGGAACACAAACTACTATTTCTTTACTTGCCTTTTGGGGGACATAAAACCATCTTGTGAGGGCGACCAGGAGAGACATTTTTCCTTGATGTGACACAGTTAACGCTGTTTGAAATGATCTGTCATGGAACAACCTTTGGAATAATTGCTCTGACGCTGGTTGTTTGGAACATGTGTGAATTAGCCTCAGCTGGTATTAGCTGGTGTCATTATCCTATGAATGTGCTGCTGATACAGTTCACTAACTGTTGCACAGTGGGAATCTTCCAGGGCTGAACATTTTCTTCCAAAGGCTAGCGTGCTCCTGACTGTATAAGAGACTGTCTTGGCAGTATCCCAGCTCAGCTGATGGATCAGGTGCAATGAAGGGGTGGTCTGGAAAAAATGGTGAGGCTGGAGCGGCCCTTTGCAGCACCCACCAGTGCTTCCTGAAAAGACTAAGTGTATGTTTTCTTGAGAAGTCCTTTCCACTCTGAGATGGGTCTTCAAAAGGCTGGTCTGTCTGGGATCCTCAGGAACTGGGGTACAGCAGCAGAGAACTTAGAGCTTCTGTGACAGCAGTACACACATGGCAATATGTGCTCTCAGGGAGGTCCCAACGTCCATGATAGGACATAAGCAGCACCCAGGAAGAAGAACCAGGGTTAATTCTCTGAGTGGTCAAATCCTGCTGCCAGGACAGACGGAGGCAGGGAAGCCTCACAAAGAGAACCAAGACACATCCCTCTTGCTTTAGCACTCGCCTATGTATTTTATTCCAAGGTGGAACAAGCCCATCCTCAGTTCTGGACAAATTATAATAAGCAGGGAGCCAACACTTGGACAATTTGGGTGCAAGGAGAGACTTCATGGTTGATTATCATACTGAGCTATTAGCTAGGGCAGCAAATGCTTGATATTATAACCAGGTGAAGATTTTTAGCCCCTTCTGCTTTATCACTGCCCCAAACAAAAACGCACAGATATGTGGGAGATTCAGACAGTCAGTGTGTAAGGAACAAAATCAAACCACATGAAGAGATTTTGGGTGTTTCTTTAAAACCTTGCACACAGTGGCTAGTCCTTCCCTTTGTGTGTATTGTTAATGATTAAACAAAATTTATCTTCATATGAAGCTGTTCTGTGAAGCCCACTTTTACCTAATCTTGAAGGTGGGAGGCTGCTGCTCTTGACATGTCAGCAGCTTCTAATGGCTTGAGATATTAGCTGAGTTTTGCACTGAGGCATGAAAACTTATACCCCTCACATCCCTCACGTCTCTTTATCCCATGGGAGGTAAAGTAGCTACATCTTCTTCATAGAGATTTTTCAATCTTTAATGCACTGCTTTAATCCATTGTCTGAAAATATATCTCATAATTGTGTGCTCCACCAGTCAATTTATACTATATTACCTTTTCAACGGTTTATACTATTGAGCAGTGGTTCAATCGCCCCTTTTTTTTTTCCTCTCTGCTGCTCCATTCCACACATTATAAGTACATTATACAGTGACTTACAGAAGTCATGCATGACTGCTATTGCTTGTTGGCTATTGCTGAACATCTGGTTTATTCATAGGGGAACTATCATACTTGAGAACAGGTAGACTCATGCTAGAAATTTGAGCCTGAGGCAAGCCCATTTGCAATCCATGTTGCTGTTCCCTGAAATCCTGTATTGTAATACCCAGGACAGGAAACACAGCGAACCTAAAATGTAGTAAATTAAAAATATATACTCTTTCTATAGCTCCTAATAAGAATACCATGTTCAGTAGATATATTTTAACAAAGATCTTCTATGATTCAGGAAAAAAAAAGATTTTTATGGAGAACAAGAGCACCTGCGTTTATATTGGATAGCATAAAAATGTCTAAAGGTTATAATTTATCTTGCTTCCAATCACTAGCTTTGTGAGCTTCACAAGAGGCATTGCCAAGGACAGGTTATTCCAGATTCGTTTATTGCTTCTGCTCATGGAAATATGAATAAGGATAGATGGGCTCTATGGAGTTGTTGCAGTACAAAAATCCTTATGTGTTTGGTTGGCTGTAAATTTTAATTTCTTTTTGTAAACTAATGCTTTTCAGGTAGAATTGAGTCTGTGCTGTCATTGTACATCTTCAGGTTTTGAAATGTCACCACTTGGAAAGGACCCTCTGGAAGCCTTGAGGACCTTAGCCTTTTCAGAAAACCCAGGTTTACAGCAGTCTGCTGCCCTCTATTACTTGCATATGAGTCAGCACAGTAAGTTATCTCAATGCATTAGAAAATTTTCACATAATTATAAATAAAAAGTTTTTTTCCAACTATGAAACTCCCTTTCATTCATTAATCAAAGGTTTTGGGTTCTTTTCTTTCTTTCATGCCATGTTGTTTGCTAAGAAAAATGGAAATGCTGTCATTGCTGTGTGGGCAGAGTTATTCTAGGTTTTGCTATGAGGAGATATCTCTCATGAGACTGTCATTTATGTAATTGTAATACTTCTGGAAAAACTCAGCAGAACTCAAAGTAGTTAGAGTCAATGTATACTGAATCTCCTGAGAGCAACACAGTCAAAACTATGGTGGAAGGAAATGGACATAGATGATCGTTTCAGGTTTTATATTAAAAAGCCCTAGAGGACAGATTGTAGTGGCAACTTATGCAGGAAGCATTCTTCTTTGCCCCAGCTATTCTGTGGGAGCACAAGGCTCCTGGGGTAATTTGTAAATGGTTAGAAGTCAGCCTAGATACGCCAAATAAGATTCCAGCAACAGTGTGGGTCCTACAAAAAGGTAGAAATACCAGCAAGAAGCAGGCTGTGGTTTATTTATTTGTTTTAAATTTAGTTCAAGGAGAATATTCTGCTACTTGGCTTGATAGCTTTATCCCATGTATTTTTTTCTCACTAAAAAGGGCAGACAGCCACAACTTGAGGACCTGCTATGAGGCGGAATGACTTGTTTGGTAGCAAGGCATATTGCTTACCTTCCCGTGATGTTTTTGAAGTACTTGATTATTCAAAACCTTTTCAGGCAACTTGCCCTGTTTTGCTAGTACCAATGGAATTTAAATGAAGGGGAATACCACTCAGCCTATGTATGATGGCACTTGAGGCCCAAGACCAACAAGAGAAAAATGTGAGCAACTACCACGAATAATGAGACTCCTGAATGTTTTGTCTCATTCCTGCAGTAAATGTGCCCCTACCTGTGGAGCATCTGGAACCCTTCTATGCCTTACTGCGATCTGCTGACCTGGAGGTGCAACAGATGTCTTCCTTGTCCCTTGTCAACTTCTTGCTGGAAGGAAATAGTGAGCAATTAACAACACATCTCTCTTCGGTTGAAAAAGTATCTCTTCAGCCAGACAGTATAGAAGGAGGGCACATCTACATAGCCAGGGCTACACAAATCCAAATTCCATTTTTTGTGTTCCAGATAGGACAGGCTCTGTCTCTGTCGGCAAGCCACATAGATTCTGATGTCACCAGGGTATATCAGATCCCTCCAGCTACATTATATCATGTGGTAAGAGATCTGTGGGAACAGCTGTACCATTCTCATTCTTGGATTGAGAGCCTGCCACTTACCGTTTCAAGCAACAGATACAGCTCTCAGAAACAAACTCTGCCTATGAGACACTGCTCATTTTCCTGTTATTTATTAACTGGACCTTGGTCTTAAATTGCTTGCAGATTGAAAAAAAAAAAAAGATGTTTAAAAGAATTCACTTTCTTCTATAGCTAATAGGGCAAATTTAATTGAGATAGGGAGCTGCAGGTCACAGTTTATGTTGATAGACATGAACACCCCAAACCTCCGCAATGGAGTACTTGTTGCATCTGCTACTGCACTCCCTGGCACCTGGGCCACAACAGGTATTCTGTCACGCTATCCCTTAACAGCAGAAGATGGGATCAGTCTTCAGTGAAGCTATCCATTTTATTTTCTTTTTTTAAGGATCTTGCTGCAAATACTATCTTGTAACTATTTATAAGTAAAAAATAGTCTTTAAAAGGTAGACTTCAGAATAAAAAGGTGGGGGGCTGAGTAAATTGTGAACCCATTGGAAAGTTGCAGTTGCAGTTTCCAAAATGAACCTCATGTTTAAAAACAGAATTGCTAGAAGAAATATTTGGGAGCTTCTGAACTAGAACCTCTGAACATCTCTTACACTCTATCATGAATCTGAAGAGGAATCAAGCAAACCAAGCACTCACTCATGAAGTGAGTGCCTTTCAGGCTGTTTCCATCTTAGGTCTGTTTCGCATAATCATAATACAGACCCCAAAGCAGTCAAAGGACAATATATTCTTTTCACAAAGGCATTAACTGTTTATTTTTCTGTTTGTCCTTTTTTTTTGTATTTATGAATAGTTGACAAGGAATTAGTTGTCCAAATGGGTTTACTTGAGCCAATTCTGGATCTGCTTGAGTCAGAGGATCCCACTGTCCAGTGTAATTCTTGTGCCTGCACCATGATTTTGGCTGTTTCAGGTGAGTGTGCTGTTCTTTCCCATTATCCTCTGCAGTGAATTCATTCAACTCTTACCTTATATTTCAAGGTGAAACAACGTATTATTTGCACTTAGTTTAAGAGTCATACGATGCAGCAACAAGTTTTGGTATTCCCACATCATAAATTCAACCTCTTGAGATTCCAGTTAAGATCTTTTTCTCAGTGTTTCTGACCTTCATTCTCTTGTGATTATAAACCTTTTTCTGATTTCCAACCTAAATATATTCATGACCAGCTTATCTTAGTTAGTGTCTACATTGGCTTTTGCTTTAGTAGTTCTGCCTCTCTGATGTCTATGCTGATGAGGCTCCTTCATTTTACTAAACTGAAAAAGCCAAGCTCATTTAAGACTCCTCCTGTAAGTGAGGCTCTCCATTAATCTTCATAGCCCTTCTGGGTGTAAATGATATGTTCCAGACATGGAACATAGCAATTGCATCTGCTGTTTTGTGATACCACAGACCTCAGACGTTGTTGCAGTCCCAAGATGTACATAAATGCTGCAGGAATTCCATTTTGAATTCATCTCTTCTGAAAGAGAGGTCACCAGAAATGTGCAGTATTTCAGCTGGAGTCTCACCTGTGTCTTTTATTGTGGCATCCAGGGAAATATGTTTTGCAGTACATCTCATGATAAAACCTGGGTTTTTTGTGATTGCATCATGGTGATGTTATCATCCTGCAGCTTTAATCACTTAGTCTTTCTCCTCTGCTGCTATTTCCAGCAGACACCAGTTAATTAAGGGTCTGCAACAAATGTTTCCAAGTGCATGGCCCTGCATTTTGTAGTATAAGGTTTCATTCTGTTTCTGTTGCTTCAGTCTTCTAAACTGTCCGTTATTTGTAAAATATTCCAGTCCTCCACCACATTGACAGTGCTGCACTTGCACCTTTGTATTAACTTTCTGGTTCAAAACCAACTACAGACCAGTCCTTGTGGAATTCCACTTGTAGCCTCCTTCCAGGTGGTCATTCCCATTCAGCAAAACTTGCTGCTAGCTTACTTTAAGTCAGTTCCTTATCCATCCGTACTACTTGCATTTGTCACCAACTTCTGTTGCTTAACTATGCATATTTCATATCATGATATAGATATTTTCCTGGCATCCAGACATAACCTTTCTTTTGGTAACTGTGGTTGAGCTTATCAGGTTAGTCAGGCTTATTCTGCCTTTTGCAAACTGTGTAATTCTACTGTATAAATTGTGTAAAGGCCTGTATGAAAGCCATGAGTAACATTTATTTCCTCTCCCATAGTGTTTATTCCATCAGCTTCCCTCTCCAGCGTGGGAAGTTGCAATCAGATCTCCCAGAAGGCTGACAGAAGCATGGTGAAAGCGTTACTTTCTCATTTAAGTATTACTGTTGCAAAAGGAGAGTGGATAAGCAGGATCCAACTACATGAAAGTGCATTTTTTCCCATCTTTTTTTTTTTTTTTTAATTTGCAGGTTTTTAAACACTTTTCCCCTTGAAACTTATTTTTAAGTGTTGCATATTATTATGGTCAGGTTAAGAACTCTGTATACTGCATTACTTTGTGTGGAATGCGAACTGCCCCATTTAAATGTCTAAATCAGGCAAGGCATTGCTAGAATTTTAGGTACCTGGCACTAGAAGGACTTACTTTATGTATGCTCAGTGAAGTTATGCCCCTGAAGATCTACAGAGAGATGTCCCTTCACCTGTTTTAAGCAGCCCACAGAGAAAGCGACTTGTCTGGGGACCTAAGGATGTTCCTTGGTCCTGAAGGCACTCTGGCCCTTCTAGATGGCTCTGTCTTTAACCCAGAGTGTAGGGAACCCTCAGCCACTCCAGATCCAATCCACCTTCATTCTCTGTTGAGGCTGGTCACCTAATACCTTTGCACACTCCCTTAAGTGACAGTCTACTTCTGAGCACAAGTAGTTCAAATTAAGCACTCAAGGAGCTTTCAAACTACATAGGAAGGCATCTGCTGAACACGGAGGTAGGCAGTGCTGCAAGTGCATAAGCTGGGCTGCTGCCTGGGATTTGATCAGTATTGAGGATCTCTGTCCCAGTTTAACTAGGATTTGGATGGTCTGGATCCATTTATTTCTTTTTCAGACTATATTTAGCTATCACAGCAATGAAACTAAAGCAAGAGGCAATTCTCTTGAGTTTATTTTAATTTTAACTCACAGACTCTGATGATATCTTAAAGGATCTGCTTGAGAAAAGAATTCTGTTCAGTCATGTCCTTCAAGTAAGCCATTCATGCTTCAGAGTGGTTTAAAAAAAGATAAATACGGAAGCACAACCAAATTAGGAAAATCCTTAGATAGCTTTAAGGTGACTAAAATTCTAAATCCAAGAATGGTAATGTGTCTTAATTCTGCTGCAGTGAGCATGAAAGACTGTGTACAGAGTGAAGCTGTTTAGCAATGTGACTGCAAGTTATATGTAAACTGGGTTGCCTGGTACTTACCTGCTGCAATAGGTAGCCAAAAATAAAAACAGCAAACAAACCCATTCAGATGAAAATGATTTGAAGGTCAGTTTGTTCCAACACCAGCATTTGTCCACATAGCAAAAGGACACATGCACATTTGCAATAATGTGCAGCTTCTCAATCTGTGAGTGAAAGTAATCAGTTTTGGGATAAGAACTCTTCTCAGCGTACATATGAACAGAACTAAACATTCACAGCAAGGGTTTAGGGAGGCCTGAACATCTGCATTAAGCTAAACAAGGAGGATGCACTGCGTATAGAGCACATTCAGAGTTGTACTGACAGGAGAATTTTCAAGCACACAATAGCAGAGAATGGAAGGAAAGAATTTATAAATGCAGGTTTCAAGGTGAGTTATTCAAACCCAGCTTGAGTAGATGTTATTGATTTCCCCACCTTAGAGTAGCATCTAAACCACCAGTAGCATCTAACCACCAGCATATGTGGTTCCCTTCTAAAAGCACTCTTAAGGTTGCATCCGTGGAGGGACTGCATTACTTAGATAAACAGGTGGTCCAGGAGAGAAACATAGTCTAGCCTGCCACATCTCTTATGGAGATGATAGTACAGTTACACATCTTGGGGAGATAGATATCTCCATTCATTCTGTCATAAGTTGACAAAACAGATAGTGTTCAGCCACACTGTCTACCAAAACTAGAATGAGAATGGAAAAGAGAATAAGGGAAAATGACATATGTAAAAATAAATCCAGCAAACTCACAATAATGGGCACTAACAGAGACTGCAGAGAACTTGTCAGCTAGTGAATGACCCAAGGGAAAAGAAAGAAAAAAAATATTTTTTTTTTTATTTTGGTCACAGAGGTTTCCATCACGTGGGTACCTGTTGTGGTCTCTCCACTCGCCCATGATGAATGCGGGCGCTCCAGTCCTTCCCAGGCCGGAGTGGGGTGCCGGCATCTCCACGTGCCACCTCCCTGCAAAGCAGGCTGTAAAACCTCATCCTGTCACTGTAGGCTTCCAGAGTTGACCACCACCTCTGAGCCCTCAGGCAGAAAAATTGTTTGAGCTGTCATGGATGTGAAGCCTTTCCAAATCAAGCCAGTTATGTTTCTTTAAGGAAGAAGAACCTTTGAAGCACCCAATGGGTCATTTTCTGTCACAGCCAGTGCTTCATTCCAAAGATCTTCAGACAGGAAACACACGCCTGAGAAGCTCTCTCTCTCGAGGATATAGGATTCCCCTTCCCTGCCCTAGAAGGGAAAGTGGAAGAAAGAATTTGCCCAAGTTTTGTCCAAATATTTGTAATCCCTTTGCCCAAATGTGAGGTTCTCTTCCACATTCAGAAACATTCATGGAGTGTATTGTGTGGAAGAATAAAGGAAGCAGCAATATCTGAATTCTCAATCTTTTTACCTCTCTTTTTTACTCAACTAATCAGAGTTTACATCACACCAGACTGGTTTCCGTCAGTTGGAGCCGCACAAAAGAATTTCTGCTTCCGCTGAGGGAAACAAAAGAACAATATGCAGGCAAATGAGATTGGAGAAAGGCTTGTCTACAAAATTGTCCAGAATATTTAACCAGAATAATAGCTTCCTACATGGAAAAGCTATTTTTAAATACATGACTCTTCCCTGAACAATTATTTTGCTCAAAAATTAAAGTATTTTTTTCCAGAATAAAAGGTATTTCCTTGAGTATAAAATAAGCATATGAAGGCAGAAAAGGACTTATTCTGGAATACTAAACTGATACTGACTGAACTATACTTGAATAAATATCCTGGATTATCTGTGTATGTCAGTTCCCCAGTATAGATAAGCTCCAGCTATAGAAATAATGGCTTTGTTCTCTTAACTCTCTAAGTTAGTTGGCACCTGAATAGTTGATCTCCTCCAAATACCTTCATATTTCTTGCTTTCTTCTGCTTCATATTTTTCTCTGCAAACTTCTAGAGACTGGCCATTGTTTAAACTGTCTAGAAATGCACATAAATGAAGCAATACTCAGCTAAAACTCCTGTGGCCTCCAGTGGTAGTTTGGCTCATATAAATAATGGAAGATGTAGACTATGGACTTTGCTTTTTCCTTTTATAAAATAATCTGCAGAATACTATGATATTAAAAGAATCGTTCATTGGTCTAATTCCCATTTAAATTTCATCAACTTCAAAGAACACCATTGCCAACACCTTACTTTTTCAAAATTATGCCACTAGAATACTTATAAGATATGAATACAGATAATGTATATATATAAATAAGACAGTAAAAGGGAGAGGGCCATAGCTGTCTCAGTGTGGCAGCAGGTTATTTGTTGCAAATGTTTTGACGGCCTCATGGTAGAGGGGTAGGGAAGAGCATAATGGAAGGATTCTCTTCTGTACAGCACAGCTGAGATTACCTTCAGTAAGTCCAAACCAAAAAGAGTAGAACTAAAAACAGATATTTTTTTTCTAAATTGTATTATATTTCATAGCATAGTATAACTTTACCATATGTAGTATACTTACACAGTCTATAAATATGTTGTATAGTATTTTATAGTATATAGTTAATTTTATAGAATTATTTAAGTATTACAGTTTTTTTCCCTAGTTTTTCATCCAAGAGTCTCGAGGGACTCCGCAGATCTTTCTTGAATTCTCCTTGTACTCCAGGATGTTGAATACAACTGTACAACTTAATACACTGCCATGCAGGAAGCATAACCACTTCAGAGAAGCATCTTTTCAAATTCCAGTGGTTAAGTCAAATCCTGTCTTTAGAAACCTCAGTGTTGTTTGTAGCTGTCAAAGAAGTGACACAAGCACATTCAAAGAGAGAAATCGGCCCTGAATATACCCTGCTAAATTAATTCAGTCTTACCTGCAATTAATTATGTAGTTTTTGGTTGGCACACTGTGAATAGTTTGATCAGACATACCAGGGGTACAAGGCAAGTATGACACCTTGCTAACCTGTTTAAGGGGATTTGCAGTCTTTTTATTTTAATCATCCCAGTCACAAAATAAAAGCATTGAAGCAGCTGTGATCTGTGGCTAATCCAGAAGTCATGAGTTAGTTCTTTCCCACTGAGCTCTTGGAATTGTTAAGTTTCCTTTGAGCATGCAGAGAAATTTTGATATATACCAAAGAATCAGAGAAGCGAACACCAAAGAAGTCTAGTCCTGCTAGTTGTCCTGCTTGTGGCTCACAGTAAGATGGCAATGTCTTCTTTCTTTCTTTTTCTGATTCTTTTCTCCAGAGTCCAACCGAGAGGCAATTGGCGCTGCTCGAGGAGTTACACCCCTACTGTCTCTTGCCAATTCCTACGATCCTAGAGTCCAACAAAATGCAGTTGGTGCTATTCTCAACCTCACACAATCAGGTACTTTCTGACTAATGGTTTATCTAAAATTGCTGAAATAAAATTTCTCACTGATAGAAAAATAATTCAAAAGGGTTAAGGCAAGAATAAAAGCATATCTGAGCAACAAATTATTTTCTTTGCATATGGCATTCAAGTCAGTAACATAGACTGATGATTTAAGTTTGGCCTCTCTTTAGTTAAGACAGACCCTTTTTTGCCTAGTACTGAAATAGAAAGTCTTGATTTTCAACCCCAACTGGCTAATGTACAAGCACTTAAATCATCAGTCAAAGAAATAGAAAAAAAATAATCGTTTGCTGAAGAAATCACTTGGTCTAAAAAGTTAGCAGCAAATTTGGTGGTCCTGTGAAGCAATCTCAGAAGCTTATCCAACAAGGTCAAGCTCTAGGAACATTTGACTTGTATCCCTAACCTGATACTGAAAGACACAAAATATAACTATTATGGGCCAGACATTAAAGGCTCCTGGAATATCTGCCAACAGCTTTAGCAAAAGCAGTATTTAGTCCTCTGTAATAATATCTGCACTCCCATACATTAACTCTGAAACAAACTACCATTAAATCTCATCTAACTGGATGATACCTTTATCCCACACAGCTAAATTACACAGTCATGAGTAATGTCTCTTATCTCTACATGGTGGAAGGGAATGGTTGGCAAGAACTTCTACAGTTGGCTATTACACTTCTGTTATTATTCAAAATTTTTTAAGAGAATTTGTTTTTTAAACACAGAAATCATGGTGAATATTATACCTGAGGTTTTTCAGCTTCTCCAGCAATTCAGATTCTCAGAACAGTCTTTAGCGTAAAACCAGCAAAGGCTTAGTCAATCAAACAGCTAGTCATTTTGCTAAAATGTCTGCATACTGCTATATTGCACAAGCTCTAAATTATATTCTCTCCAGTCACACTGATTGGCATCTATTTGGACAACATCACCACTCTCTAGAATCCAATGATTGTGCATATCCCTTTTGAATGGTGCCTCCAGATGAGGGGAAGGGGAAAGACACACCAACAGCATTTTTTTTTTTTTTTTTTCAAATGGCAGAGAAAATCCAACATGTCCTATGCAAGGAAGGAGCCCTACCAGTTCTTACCTTGCTGCTGGAATCTCCTGACTCAGAAGTGCAGGTATGGCTCAAACAGGTCAGATTTTTCAAACAGTCACAGTGTGACTGTAAGGAGAGCATGAACCACAATGTGTGGAAATGAAAAGGTGGAGAGGAGGGAAAGTCTCTCTAGAGAAGTGGGGAAACATGTGAGAACATCTTGGTGAAACCCAGCTCAGTCAAATAGTGTATATTCAAAACACTCAATTTGTCTAGCTCCACGGGAGGAAGTTTATGACACAGAAGTGCATCTGCCAGCACACACTAACACATGCACACAGTTGTTACGCGGTTACCTTCTGTGTCTTTCAGAGCATCAGACAAGTTGCAGATAGGCCTCTTCCTCTGTTGGTTTTTTTTTGCATCCTAACTTTAATCTTCCACTCTAAGCAATCTTACTAAGTGTTCTGAGAAGGCATAACTTGCAAACATTTTTTTCTTATTATTGTAAATGTCTGGGAAATCTTCCTATTTTATGCCTAGAATCACACTTCTTTGTGATTCTGCACACTTCACAGAGAGCTGGTCTTGGTTCAAAAGTATGCCGATGAAAAACTGTGAATCAGCATTGTAAACCTTAAAATCCGCTAGTTCATTCATTCAGTCCTCTGAGTAGTACAAGATTGTTTCCTCCATCAGTTTTGTTATCTCTGTTCAGATTTCTTTTAAATGTCTGAAGGGATGGAGCCTCTGGAAGTGCTTTCTGCAAACTGTTTCAGCATTATCATCTTTCTCTGAGATTCATCTCAAAATTACCTTCTCTGCAGTTCAACCTGTTTCTTCTAATTATACCTCCCTAGTAATACATACTCTTACATGTATGATCCTCTGTAGTGTTTATGTTTAAATCCTTTGAAAATGATCTCTTGGCATGCTAGGGCAATGACTACATCCAGCTTGAGGAACTCAATGTAAACATATAATACAGTAGATGCAGATGACCTAACTTAGGTGCCAGCAGCAGTATCGTTGCAGCAGCACAGCACATTCCCAAATACCCAGGGTCCTAATGGATTTGTACAACATGCAGTGCCACAGCATGATTGCCGTTGTAGCTATAGCAGATTGCATTGCTTTTCCTGGAGGAAGCCCACTTAGGCTGTTATCACGTCAACCCAATAAAACACCCTTAAGGTGAAAAAGGACTTTATTTTCATCAGCTCTAAATCTGAGCATATCTCTGATTTATTTTTATTCTCTTCAACATGTCACCACTGTGACCTCCCCTGTTTCCTTTTTTCTCGGTTCTCTGCAGTATTACAGCTGTGCTACCTTAAGCAACGTAGCAGCCAACGTTCAGCACCACGAAGCCATGCTGAGACCTGGCAACAGATTCCTGCTGCGGACACTCATATCTCTCCTATCCTCTTCTGTGGACAAGGTGAAGTTGTAACTTTCTCTTTGTGTAAAAACTTAGCATCAGAGTAGAGCTATAAACTTGGGCTTCCAGTTTCAGTCTTGCACAATTACGCTCATCTATTGTACAGGGGCCTATGCAGTATCTTTCCCATGAGAAAAGATGCATATATTAGAAGATACATAGGTTCTACAAGGTTAATGTATGGAGAGAGAGAAGGGAAATCATTAAAGTTGTTCCACAGCCCTGGATGCTTCCTTTAGACTAGGATGGCCTGTATTCTTTAAATTTAAAACTACATGTGTGAAGTGCTCTGTCCAGGCTCTCAACTACCTTTGATCATTGTGTCTGCGACAGAAGGTAGCTGGAGCATCTATTATGCTACTTTTTTTTTTTCTGTTTGGTATCCGTATCTTTGACTGTATGGCTTCAGAGAATAACATCTTGAAAATTTTGCTTTGTTGGGAGCCACACCAAAGAAACTTCAATAAGCCACAGTTCAGGATTTAAAGGGTGAACCTTAAATTCTGTGTAGGAGGGAGGCAAAAAAAAGGCAAAGCAAATGAGACAAATTTCACTCCTTTTTCCTATAACTTATCTGACATTCTAAAATAAACCAACATCTGAACTCATTGGCTCTTCCTCATCAACAACAGGATGACTGATACTAGAGGAGGATGAAAAAAATTCATCAAAAGTTTGGGAAAAAAAAAAATAATTTCCCAAAATTTATTCTCTGAAGATAATGTAATAGCTTGTTAGTGTTGTCACATTTATTTTGCATACAATAGGCAAGAACATGCATTACTGAAACCGCTCTTTTTTCCCCCTCTCTCTTTCTATTTTTTTTTTCCCCTCTTTGGCACAAGCAGGTTTCAAGCCAGGCATGTGTTTGCCTAAGAAATTTGGCTACCAGTGGTAAGCAATATCTTGGAGATAAAGAAACCACACTATTTCTTTTTCTTTCTCTCTCTGCCTTTCAGACTGAGCAGAGTGGGCTGGGAATCTTTCATATTAAAAGCACAGAGATACCCTCTTTTCTACATTTTAATTGAATGTTAAGGGAAGAGGGAGGTGCAGTGCATACACTAACTAAATCTGTCTCAGAGCTCCCAGGTAGCAAGGGGAAGTATCTGGACAAAGTGAGAGAGACAGCAGGGGTCTTCTTATGCACAGAGCCTTTGCAACTTACTAAGCTTTTCTCCCTTCTCTGTTTCCTAAGCATTAAACCCAATTAGGACAGAATGCCTCCTGAAATTGCTGCTTGAGTGGGGACCTGCCTTCTCCCAAGGCATGAATCTGTCTATCATTAAATATAATTTTCTCCCAAGCATTTGTCATCCTTTTAAAAAAATCCTATGCTATTAAATGCCCAAGATCTGTTTCTATGGCATACTTGGGAGACGAAAGCAGAGGACTGGCACGCTCAACGCTAGAGCCCTAGGGTCCAGGGTAGAGTTGTTCATCTAGAAAATGTAAAGGTGCTTAATTTTCAAGCACTCACAATTATATTGGAGCTGGGAGTGAAGGAACTGCTGCGCTGCTCCTTGGCGTGGTTGAAAACCCCTGGTCTGCTTGGCCTTTTAGGACTGCCGCTCCATCTGCTGGCTGCTTTGGCATTGCCTTTTAGTGCCCAAAAGCACTCGCTGAGGTTGCAGGGACAAGTGAGATGTAAGGATTCAGCCAGGATGGCTGATCTCTCCCCTGGCTAACCAGAACTCTGCGAGATAGGTGGTGCTTGGAGAGGTCTTTCTGTCTGTGCAGCAGAATCTGCCACCTTCTTACTGGGCCTTATTGCCAATGAAGGACTCTGGAAATTCCCCTCATTTCTTCTTGCTGAGGTTCAGACACAAACTGAAGGGTGCCCAAACCTACGTTCTGTTCTCAAGCCTGTATTAATCCCTTGGCAAAAGGAGCCGGAACAAATGAGGGTTTATTTTTATAACTAAACGTCCAGCATTGTCCCATCCCACAGAGATGGGGAGGTCGCCTCTAATTTCATCACTGAGGCACAGTCAAATGTTTGAGTCGGGGCCCAAATACCTCCTCATGGTGCTCTGAAGCTCCTTGACCTCAGTCATTTTCCCAAACCAGCGGACATCCAGGCTGAGATGGTTGCTGAGGACGTCCTGCCCAAGCTGTGCTCTCTCCTGGCATCTGGCAGCGAGGACGTGCGTCACGCCTCCATTGCTCTGCTCTGGATACTGTCCCAGCACCGGCACAACCAGGTAGGGGAGGTCATTTTCCAAGACCAGAGGGGAAAGACTAGTTCTGGCCACCACCTGGAGTAATGCCCTGTTACGGCAAAATTACATACAAAATGCATTTTGAGAATGACCAATAGGGTCTGTGTGACTTCCCAACCCTTCTCTCTCCCACCCAGAATAACAAGATTTTGTCTGCACTGTCACTAACTACCCGAGGAGCCTCTCTGTTGTGGTGAGGTGGGATCCAAAGGATCCTGTAGTTAATCAGATTGCCTGCAAGGTGACCAAGGGGAGGGTAGAGGGGGTGATGGATGTCAGATTCTCGGATGTGTGGACACTGCCCTGCACACCCTGCAACTCCCTGTGGTCCCCTCAGTCCCGAGACTGTAGGTGTCCAGATGGGTGTACAAGGGGCAGGGGACATGCATAGCACCATGAGAGACTACAACCATGGGCGCAGCTGATGAAGCTATTCCTTGGTTACAGAGCTTCCACACACACTGAAAAGCAGGGAAACTAATTTAGAGCGTGCATTTAAAGTGCATCAGCGCAAAATAAAGTGCAAAAATACATTACTTCCCTATATGGACAGTTATTCAAAAGTACATTTGCATAAATTTAACATCTTTTGAATTAGGATCAAGACAGCAAGGGGGACTAATACAGTTTGAAATCCTATCTATCTTTAGCTAATTCACTAGGACTTTTCCTGTGTATCCTCAAGTCCTTAGTTACAGAACGGTTCTTTCGCCCACGTTCAGGGTAAACACCACCATTAACAGTGCAACACTATGCAAATACATGAAGAAGTCTGACTAGAAATAAACTACAGCAAATAAACAAAACAGACACTCCTGCTGCACTTTCATCCTCCACATAAAACAGCAAAACCAGTAAGTAGCAACTGACAAATTATTATTATGATTAAATGTGCTTTTCCATTACAGTAATTAAAGACATCCTTAGGAACATGGATATGTAAGGTTTTTGATAGGTGTCTTAAGCTAACAATAACCTTTTAAGAGAGTCAGAGTTTGGGTAGATATCAAAAAAATGTGAGAACCTTTTCTGCCACATTACTTTAAGCAGTAGTGACAGACAGTTTGAGTAACCACAGCTGGGCTTAGATGCTTCTTGTGGCTGAAATACACTCAGTCTGACTTGAAATTTCCTCTGGGTATTGGAAGCCTGGTGCCTTATACCTCAGTTGCACATACACAGCACAGTACAAACCAAATTGCACCTCCTCTTAACTGTGGGACATGATGGAAAAAATGGGTAAGCTCAATGCCTGGGAAGCAGCAACTAGAGCACAGAGCTTTTCAAAGGCACTGTGGCTTCAGAGGTTTTGTGCTGGCTGCATTAGCACCAAACGTCCTCATTGCTTGTCAGACTGCCTCATGCAATCAAAACACAATTTGCTCTCAACAAGCTTACAACTGAAATGCATTAAGTTAGTCGGGGGCTATTTGCACAGTAAAAATGTTACTCGGTATGAGACATTATGGTGGAACATTGTCCTCGCTCGCATTTGCTTTTCTTGCCCCCAAACACCATTTGCACTTTTTGTTCTCCCAGCAAAGAGTACCCGCAACTCTTTTCCTCCTCGATCCTGAAACGTGTCTTTACCAGTGCTTCAGAGCCCCAGCTACAAAGGGCACGGCGCAGTGTCAGTGGGAACAAAGGCACAGGGAGCTGAGCCTTGTTACACCAGGAGTGAAACAGCCTGTCCTTCACGGGGGAAAAGGGTCAGCAGCAGGAGGCTGGAAAACGAAGCATCGCCCTTGAGGGTTTATTCTCCAGTGAGAAGTATCTACATGTCAGAATTTGTTTTAGTGAGCAAACACGGCTGTCCCTGACTACTCACAGTTGCTGCTTTGTGTGAGTGAGCCCTGGGCACTCTGAGAAGAGACTGACCTCTCCTTACTCATATCCTGCCTCCCCACCTCCATGCCTTTTCTGGCCTGTTTTTCAAATCTTTTCAAGGTTTCTTTAACTCAGGCTGAATTCTCCATGAGTGAAAGAGGGAATTCTCCATGGGAACAGCTGTTGCAAAACAAACCACCAAACAAAGCTAACCTTTACAACCAAGTCAAGTGATGCTTGAATTATTACAAATACTACCCAGGATACAATAGGGCAGAATTCATCTGCCCTTTCGTTACCATGAAGCAAACACCCAGGAATGCTTCACAGGAGCTCCTCTCCCTGCTTAAACCCCTTTTTTTGCGATCCCCTGGCCAGGCTGTTGACAGCGATTCCCAGCAAGCGCTGGAAAACTTCCTTCTTGCAGGAGGAATTTCATTCAGTTCTCCCAAGGACAGTCCAACCCTGAAACACTAAAGAAAGAGTAAGGCTTTGTGAAAAAACAGCCTTTTAAATCATGTTCCTTTGAGCAAAGACATGGAAGTCAGGGTGGCAGGAGTCTGTCTACTCCAGATGATGCCACTGACTTTCCACTCCAGGTACAAAATAACTTTGCCTTCCCATCTTGCTACCTAGTAAACAGGGGATAATATTTGTCTTAGCAAGAAATCCCTGGCTAAAGGGTACGAGTGCAGCATTGTGACTGTAAGCACAGTTGCTGCTGGAATGATTTTCCTTGCCTTTTTTTTTTTTTTTTTTTAATCTTGGGAGAAGTTAGATCAGCATCCACCTGAACCACCCAATCCATTTTCACTCAGAGTTTTCTCATGATTCTCTTGTGCTGTGCAGGATTGAGCCAAAAAACAAAATCTGGATCCCAGCCATATGCCAGCCAAAAAAGAGGGTCAGCAAAATTTAAAGTACTGTCACTTGCTAATGTAGATCCTAAACAAACAGCAGAGCTTGGCAGGGAAGTCATTGTATATTAGAAAGTTCATTTACAGTCCATAGAAAATTTCGTCCTCCCAGGCTGTAGCAAATCAAATAAGGGTACTGTAGTTGATGAGATTACAGAGAAAAGAGGACACTTGGGCCAAAACCACAGAAAACAGTCATTAATGGTAATTTAATTAGATTATCTAAAATTATATTATTTCTGCCTTTGAAGAGAAGGAAAAATAAAACCAGTGAAAATTTACAGCCATATCTGCATATAGGATTTTTTTAATGCCCTGAGTTTAGGCATAGCACTGCCCTCTCCATCTATTTTCATGTTTTATTTTAGGATTGCTGGCTGTGACAGTGCTTAAAATGAACATAAGTGAAGATGTCAGCTGATATTAAATAAGATACACTTTTACAATTTAACCTAAGTAAAAGAAAGATGTAAGTTAAACTATTTTTTAAAGACATCTGCCTTTCATCACTGCTTCAGTGATCCTGCCATTTCACAGGTTTCAGAATTATGCAGTTTTTCTCAACTTGATGTAGGACCAATGATTTTTTTTATATTGAACACTCTTGCTAATGTGTCTCAATTTCTAAGTAGCACAAATAATATAGTTCATTGCAAAGAAACATAAGAACTGCATAAAGAACTCAAATTCATAAGGGAAAGAGACTGAAAGAAAAAACGCTCCCAAGAGAAAATCTCTTGCTTTTAACTGGAGACCTAACCCAAAGCCTGCTGAGATCAGGTTTCTTTTATAAACAGCAGTGCCCCCTTAATCCATACTGCTATTGAAGAAATTACCTGGGCAGTAATCCAAACTCAGAAGATCTGATTCAATTAATATTAGTGGTAACTGGAGGAAGACTACATTCAGAGAGAGAGGTACTCAGTAAAGTCCCTCTAAAATATCCATCAAGCAGCAGAGAAATGTACATATAAACTCAGAAGATGCTGTTCAGAACATGTTACTAAAGTGGTGCCTGATCACGAACTGATCTAAACATACAGTCCGTTATTGTAGGCGAGGTAAATTGCTGAGGTACTGAAGGACACACTGCTGCTGCTACTTCACCATGTACTTTTGCCTTTTACACCTACCCTGACCACTTCTCCTTCCAGTCAGGATCACGTGTCCTTCCCCTGACTACCGACAACCTCTGGGAAGCATTTGATGCAAACAAAAATAAACTACCAGACCTTAAAGACTCCAGCTTTCCATAGCAAGTGTTCTGTAGATCAGTGCCAGTCAGTAAATCATATTTTGAGAGAAAAAAACTACTGGACCCAGTCACTACACCACTGGTTTAAATGAGCTAAGTAATGCTCTTCTTTCAGAGCTAAGATCTATCTATCTATAGTTTGCTGCAAAGTTGCATTGTGTTGTCCATACTGGATGTAATTGAGATACCGGTTGCTATTCTCAGGACACTCTGGCATGTGTCAAGCTGCTACAGAGCCTGGGAATGCTACTGTCAGCGCATAAAACAGACCCTGTGATTGTTGGCCATACTGCTTGTATCATCAAAAACCTGAGCCTTTCCAAAAACAGACAGGTATGTACCCAATATTTTTCACTGAACTATACCCTGGGAGGTTGCGGTTTTATTTACATCAAATCAGCATTACCCACAGAAAGATTTTTTTTTTAAATGAAACACATGCCAAGGATACTCTGCACAAAATGTGTAGGAACAAAAGGACCTGATGTGCCATAATGAAAGGGGGTTTTATTCATATTTTTCCAATACAATACAAAAATGCTAATGAAAATAAGAAATGTCTAATTTTTCCTACGTGTGATGTGGTTACCTAATTTGAATGACTGCATCATAGGTATAAAGTACTTCTAGCAAAGACATTTCATACTAATTAAAGGAACCATCCAGGAAAATCTGAAGTTTGTTAGAAACTGAATCCTTATTTCCTAACTCTCACTCTTTGGCTGCCCTTAGTTATCCACTTATGATGTTCAACACTGCTCTATTTTCACTCCCAGTTTGTTAAATATAACCCCAGCTACTGATGTACATTTTGCCTGTTTGGCAAGGTACTAGTTGTGCCAAGTTGCTATAAAGATCTCCGTTGCTGACTTTGCTTCTAATGAGATCCATATCCACAGATGCACTTCCTTTCTCCTTGCCTTTTAAGAGTACCTTGTTCAAACAGTGCCACTAGTAACAATCAATATTGGGGAAAAAAACCCACCTAAATCCTTGTTGCTGCTTTGCCCCACTTTCTAGCACACACTTTTTGAGACTCAGTTCCTTTTTTTTCCTCTGTGTTCATGATCCAGTTACCACTAGTTCTAGAGATTTAAACTAGCCAAAAGGAAAACCCTTTCCAATTTTTTTTTTCACTTATACTAAGATAAAAATTTCTGATAGTTGTGAAATCAATTTTTGCAGGGAAATAGATTCCCTCAAACTCAAAGCCCACAGTAAGAGTAAAAATGGACCATCCTTTCAAAGTTTGCTTTAAAAAGATTACCATGTTTTTTGCTTAAATTCTGTGACTTTATTCTGTTATCAGCAGGGAGCTGGTTCACCTTCCTAAAGCTTTATATCGTATAGAGTATTTAGCTCTCACTGCACAAGTGCATCCATAGACATGACTGGGAGTGCCAGGTTTCCAGGGTCAGTTCCAGGGAACCGTCCCTAAAACACATAAGAGTCCTTGGCACAAGAGGAAAAAAGTGTTGGTTTTGTGCCAGCAGGACATGAACAGAGTGTGGGAGCTTGAAAGGCAGCAGTCTTGAATCCAGCTTCAACCTCTTAAGCAGCAAGTTAAAAACCTGCAACATAAAAGGAGCACACAAAAAAAGATAACTCCCTTTTGTTGATAGACACCTGAGCTCCCTTATGGAGGTGTGAGCAGCTTCCATTAGTAGGACCTCCCAGAGAGCTGATGACTTTGTGATTCAACTTCACTAGTAACCAGTCACCTTCAGGTGACTCATTCAGGACTCATGCCTTGGTGTCATGTGCTATTAATCCAGGTCAGCACGGGCTGAGTCTCCTATCTGTTTTCAACTCAGTCTGTAAAATATATATCCCAGCACAGATTCAACCTAAAAGATAAGGGATGCACAGCAAAGCTTAATTCATAACATTTCTCTCCAGAAACAGAACTCACCTTTGCTAGTGAGAGGTCATCTCATATTTCTGCAGATTAGAGCATTTCAACACCAGAAAGTTTTCAGAGCCCTGGAGGCAAAGAAAAGAAACTGAAAACCTTGCACATTTCCCAGTGCTCTGTCCTGTAGCACTCAGCTTAATCACCTCTGCAGCAAGACTTGAGCAAATGACAGCTTAATACTAACATACAGCCTGGTACAGCAGCAATAGGTCAGGAAATTCTTTGAGCTCAGAGTTATTGCTGAGAGTTATTCAGTACTTCTCAAGTCATACAACACTAAAACGTAATGAAAATGCTAAACATGAATCTCTCTCTTGTTGCAGAGAATCATTGAGAGTCCATGTGTTCAAGGTCTCCTCCAGACCATGCTTTCTATCGACACTCAAGAAGACTCTCTTCATTATGTGACGTCTTGCCTTGCTGAACTAGCAAAGCAAGGTAGGGAAGCAACCGCACCATAAATGGCTTAATCTGAGAACTGTACCTATCCTTCATTAATCCTAATAGGAGATGAAGCGCAGGTGCACATACAGCCCGGGTCTTTCCCTTTAAATTCACTGGGAGTTTTGCTGTAAGCTTCAAGAAGAGCAAGATCCAACTCGCTGGCAGGACACATGGGCTTCATTGTTTGCACTTTTTCCTGTTGAACTGCTTAGAATTTTTATTCAAAATTCTTTGTCCTGAATTTTACTGCCGTACAGGGCCTGTCTACTTTTCTTTGTAACATCGCCCAGTTTCTCTGGCTGAATTAATTTCATGAAAGCAGAAACTAATATAAGAAGAGAAAAAGACTAAAATACAAAGTGGCCCTTTCTCTTTAAAAGTTTTACACATAGATTTTATAAGAAATCCCAAATTAGCACCAGTGGAAGGTACAGCACTCCTCATGGCAGAAAGGACCAGTGTAAATTTTCCCAGCCTGCCCCAGCATTGGATATTGTCTGTCAAACATTTCGTCTTATGTATCTGGTGTAACTGCCATGCAACTGGTGACATGTCACATTTAATTTTGCAAGAGGTGCCCAGCAGCTGCTGGACAGACTGAGCCGACTAGGCAATAGCAGATCTCGTACATAAAGTGATTCATTCTTTCAGAACACAAACCCAACAAAATAAAAATCCACCAGCCTTTCTGTGAATCAAATCCATGGCCCTACCTTACGGAGAGCATAACCTCAGGACATGGTCCTTTTTTACAACCTAAACATACTTATTGCACAAGTTCAGCACTTACGTTGCTTCTCCAGCTGCATGAAGGATTTCCTATTTAGGCAGTATTGTTTCTGGTAGACCTCTCACCTTCATTTCTTTGACACCGGAGTTTCTGTTTACAGACTACTCTCTTGTCTGTCTGTCTTCCAGAAGGAGCCACGTTATGCATGGTCCAATGGATGGATGAGCCCTTGACAAAGTGCTTGGTGAGACTGGCTGGCCAAGTGGAACATACTGAGCCATCCTTTCAAGCTGCCTCCATCATCCAGCACATGATAGGTCATGGTAACTGTCACACAGCATTAACTATGCTTTCAAAGAGATTTATGGCTGTCTGGAATGAAATGAGCCTTTTCCCAAAGGAGTGAACTGTCAGGCACTGAACAACCTTTTAACATTCCTATAGCATCCTCCATCTGGTCTCTACAAATTTATTAGCATAAAAGCACCTACAGTCACCCCTGAAATACACATAAAACAGTGCTTGAGTGCACGAGAAAGCCCAGGGATGAAAATGGACCATAAAGATCTGATTCAAGTGTTTGTTGCCTGCTTCAAGCACTACCATTCTGCAGGGCTAGTCTGCAGCCAATGCTATGGTCCTTAAAAAACAACTTAAGTAGGGAGGTGGGAGACCATAAAGTACCAAGGGAAAAATGAGAACATGTTTCAGATGAGTCACTGTTGCATCTTTCTGTTTGAGCCTCCTTCTCAGCATATACAATGTGATGGCATTCCCTGCAGATAGGAGCAGAGGTTGGTAGAGACAATTTCAATGGGGTGGTTGTGTTCCAAAATTTTGGATCACCTCTGCTCCCTGACAAGCAAGAGGAAAGCATCTTGATGAACAAAACGCTGCTGTTGTAATTCTAGACTAGATTAGCAGGAGCGGTGAAGCAAAGTGGCTTTTAAGAATGTAGCCTGTATTTTTTTAAATTTCAGTGAGAGAGAATTAGAAAAGCATTATTTTTACCTGCAGAAAACAAACAGCTTTATGCTTAATATACTTGTCCCATGCAGCTGAGAACCTTTAAGACTCACAAGGAAAAAGGTGTTCAGATAATTCTTGCCACGTTCTCTAGAAAAGCATGGTTAGATTTTAATCCTTAGATGTGAGAGAAACTGAAGTCGCTCATGAGTCTCCAATAAGTGAAAACGCAAACCTGTTTCAATTCTACCATCAAGGATTTGCAACAGAGCAGATTCTTAAGTAGTGAATAGAGTCCAACAGCATAATCGCTTCATGGATCGGTTAGCATGACCAGCTGATCAGTCCGTAAATCAGCATGCACCTTGCACAAGGACCAGCTTTCTAGCACAGCAGCCCACTCAGCATTTTATTTACCTCAAGATTCAGCGATACCGTCAGAGGCTGTAGTACATGCAAGTCCTTTGTCATTCTTTGCAGTAGCGTTGCTTGTAGGTGAAGTTGGACGAGTCATTAATTGTTACAAAAATCAGTTTTCAAAGTGTTTTAAAGGCTCCTATTGATCTCCAGTGGTTCTCCCATTTATGCAGAAAAAATGATGCTTTTGCTGAAGAGTCACACCAGAGAAATTCAGGCCTACCTCAAGAACTTTCTTACTCACCAAGAGATTCGCTTTCAGCAGCTGGGCATCTCTACATTCTGCAGACTGCGAGAAGGTATGTCCTTCCCGCTGGGCTGAGCCCCCGGGGTGCTGCCAGGCACTGCCGGCTCCTATCAGCAGCGAACAACGGGCACTGCTCCGTCACAGAAGTGACAATGCCAGGCAACTTCCTCAGGGGACTAGCTCCGCTCACTTAAAAGGAATGGAATAATCTCAAGGGTAGCTGTTACCTTACGTGTTTTTAAATAATGAAGAATATTTTATGATAAAGGCAGGGGGTTTCTTTGCTTGTTTGCTTGCTTTAAAACTAAAGGCTTTCTGACCAGCGGGGAAACAGGACTTCAGGTACAGATGGTTTTATCTAATATAAGAATGTTTGGCACTAGATGCAGCCTAAATGCTTTTCAAATATGATTTTAGTTTATTTTGATAGAGCAAGCAAATAAGCAAATCGCATGATGAGCTAGTATTAAAGCTGGGAAGTCTCACGTCTTTTTAATATTATGATTCTGTTGATTTTTTTCTATTTTTGATTAGGTTTTTTTTTTGTTTTAGGTAGAAGTTGAGTACAGATGAGAGCTATAATATGGTAATAAATGTATATAGTGTGTATCTTCACATATATAGAGCCAGAGCCAAGACCCTGCTACATCCTGATATGCACCTATTGCAGAAGGCTGAATATGGCAACTGAGCTTTAGACACCTGGATCAGGAGAATTTAGCAGCAGACAATATTGTATGGTCGTAGGGATGAAAACTGAATTAGTATCTGCTTTGCATGGTAGTAGAATATTGTTCTAACTTCTCTATACTTTACACTGTAGTAAGAACCATCAACAGTATCTAACCTGAAATAGAAGCTTTCTAAGCATCTACATTAAAATACAGGGAAAAAACAGTAGGTTGCCTAACACTTGTTTTTCCTCTTCAGATCCAGAATTTTCATTAGCATTCAGAAAAAGCCAAATGGCCAAACTCCTTGAGCAAGTCCGTCAACAAACAGAAGAAACTCAAGAGCTCCTTAGGGCAGCTATTTGCCACGAAGACAGTTCATATTTAAGCTGCATGGCTTATGAAAACTTACCAGATCCAAGAGCCTGAACTTTCAGAGAAGCCAATTCTTCTCATTGGTTCCTGTAGTTAAAGTTTTCCTGCTAGTTACAGTTTCATCATACAAAAGAGATGTTCCGATAACAAGAATCGGAGCAGGTCAAAAAAACAATCCTTTGAACACTTTGGCTGGCTGCTTAAGTGTGCTTGAGGACTACAGCTACCTTCCTCCCAACTGTTTGGAAAACATCTGTTATGCTTGGGTAATCTTTCATGGTTTGTTTTTAGTTTCCTCACTCCCCCTCCAAAAAACTCGGGCTGTATTCATGAGGTTTTATTCACTTAACAGGCTGATTCTACTGAAGAGGCATCTCTCAAGCACACAGGTTCCTCTGCATTCATCTTTATTTTATTTCTGTTCCATGTCCCTTATTTCAGAGCACACTCCAGGAACCTGAGTTTAGAAAATAACTGAATTAACACATACTATAAAGGTAGCAAACTACTAACAGGTTACTACAGGAAGTAACTGCTGAGGGACAACTCAGAGAAAATGCAAGAAATTTGTAAGAAACAAGAGTAGAGCAAGCCTTAAGGCTGATCCTTGCATACACTGTAGGCACTACTCACCAGCAGAAAAGCAAAGACACACTGAGGCAGGTAAATATTGGATAGAGCATGTTCAGAATATAGCAGCTACCATGAAAGATTTGGGTGAGACGTGTTTGAATACAGAAATCTGTGTTCTGCAAATGGTAAATTTCCAAAGGTACTTGCAACAGGGGGAAAGTGAATAAAGCTGGCAAAATTAGGAATTGATTTTTAATATTGATATTGATATTTCATTTTAAAAGGACTTAAAGAACAAAAAAAGTAGTAGTATGTTTAAATTCAACTCATTTTCTTGCATGTATACAGGATACTGAACAACCTCCCCTCCCCTTTCCTCCAGAGGCAGAGTCTGTCTCACAGACCTTTTAGTAAATCAAAACAGTATTTTTCAGGAAAAAAATGTAGCACAGAGCCTTGAAAGTATGGGGCACTAGTTTTTTAATGTAGGTTTTAATTTGTAATAGAACAGTAATCTAATAATAATAATAATCATCATCATCTATTAGTAATCCAATTCCACCTTTGATCAATACACTTGTTTTTAAATACAAGAATCTGGCTGGAGATTCATGCTGAACTGGCTGGAATACTAAAATTTTGGAATCACTCTTCTGGGAAACATCTGCTCCCAGGTAGCAGAGTTTCTCACAAAAACACGTCAGAAGAGTTTCCTGTGTTTTGAGGTACTTCTGACCATGGTATAATTCGTACATGCATGTAAAGCTTTAGAGAAATTAAAAAAAAAAATTATTCTGTTATAACTAAGAGTTCAACATTGCATTTTACTGTGGCCCAAATCTCTAAGGTTAGTTTTGGTGCTTGGGAGCAGCATTTCTGCTAATGATTCCTTTTAATAACTGCAAGTTCTCTCCAATAGTACTGTTTAAAAAAAGTCCAACCAAAAACACACTCAAAAGCCTCTCTGCAGTGCAGTAAAAAGGCCTGTTAAAGAACAGGGCAGACAGAGACTTCAGATAAAACAGTTCTAAAGCATTTTCAATATTCATGTGTGACAGAAATTTTCTTTTGAAATCTTATGTGAAAGACCCATGTGCTCAGCTGTCGGCAGTTGGGCTTATTAAAACAGAAGACTACAAAGAGCTGAATGACACAGCTAGGAACAAAACCAGAAAATCTCAAACTTCAGGCCACCTCCTTGGGTGACTTTAGATCATTTCCCAAAAGGAAAATCAGTGCAATATTAAGCAATGGCATTAGAATCTGTGTGTTTTTCTTAGGTATTTAATTGCAAACAATACTTTTAAGGTCCTAGCAAGAAGGAAAACAACAAAGCGTTCTTCATCAGGAATGAGGAGATGAGACAAGCAAAGCTAAAGGTGAACAGCCCAGTAGTTGTGAATGTACTGAACTAAACTCACTGAATGTCATCCCTGTAAGCATTTATGTTGTGCTGTTAAGACATAAGCAAGGAGCTGAGTCTTTCCAAAGCACAGTCTACCTGCTGTGAAAGGTTACTACTCCGTAACTTCAGAGTAGCCATCTGTGGCTCCTACAGTTGCTAGCTCTACCTCACCGAGTAGTTAAGTGTTGCCTCCAACAGTACAAACAACAAAAACCATTGCAATAGCAGGCAAAGGAGCTGGCCTTCGTTCGATACCGTATTTTATTATCAAGAACATTCAACAGAAAAACTATTTTTCCATGCATTTAAAGTGGCTTAAACCAAAACTTAAAATTTCAATTCATTTTTTTTAGTGGGTTGTGGTTTTTTTGATTCATACACCTAATTCTACTCCCAGTTCCTCAGCTTTTAGTTTGTATGTGGGGCCCTTGAAATGGAGGAAAATTTCTCTCTCATTTGAAGCAAACCCGTAATGAATACAGTTATAAATTTTTACTGCAGTCTGGTTAGGAAAAAAAAAACGAACAAAAAACCCAAAACACCACACATGAGAAATGAAGCAGGCTCTTTATCTCTGTGCTGCAAACAGTGAAACAAGCATTCTGAAGTCTCACAAAACCTGATCAGCATAATTTAAACCTGAGCCTAAATGAATCCTCAAACTTAAAACTGAAGCTAAATCTTAGTGGCTATTTCTTTGCTCTGTTTCTAGCTGTAAGTGGCCCTGTACTGATTTTCTAGTAAAGAGATTAAAGGAAACCTGAAGAAAAGTTTTAAGCAGACCAGGAGTAGCAAGAAGAGTTTTCCATCACAGATTGACTCCTGTTTCAAGTTTGCAAGAAAAATGAAAATATAAATAGAAGTAAATATTTCAAACAAGTTTTATTTGGTACTTACATGCTATATATAGGTTTAAAGAAAAACTACATATTTTGGACACTATTGTGGCTGTGTACATGGAAAACTAAAGAAAGCAAGAAAGGAACCCAATTTATTTTACTGTGTCGCAAGCTGCTCTTGAAAGCATTCTCACTGAATGGCTGTTTTTTCCCTTCCATATACATTCTGGCAGATGAAGTCTCTTTTCCATTGCATTTCCATTGCTTTTATCCCATCTCCTGTACAAGATGAACACTTGGCAGCAGCAGAAAGTCACTTCTTCAAAAACGCTTCAGCTTTTGTCTCAGAGGAATTCTTCTCCTAGCAGACTTTCTGCACAGCTTCCTAGAGGCCTAGCTCAGCGCTCACTAAAGGCAAGTACAGGAACCTTAATGGTACATTCTCTGGTAGCATGAAGTGAAACCCCATAAGCCTCCGTTTCCACTAGCCAAGGATCTGCTCACCGACTTCAGTGAGCAATGCATCAAGCCCTGGTTGGTGCTTCAAACTCAAATACCTCGAGTGAGCCCTGCCTGTAACAGCATTGTTTATCAAAGCACAAAAAGGTGCAAGATTTTACAGTTCTGTCCAATAGCAACCAAAAGTGAGGGATGGAAAAATGACAGTAGAAATCAGCATCAAACTAAAGAGAAAGCAACCTGCATTGCTCCTCTTATCATTCAAACTGCACTGCTTTATAAAAACCACACACTACATAAAAAACACAAACAATGACCGTTTTCCATTTGCTCTGAAACGAGCAAAACCAAGAAATCCCTAGACCTGCTTCATCATCCAAAAATCAAATATCTCAGGTTTCACACAGTCTTCAATAGTCTGATAAGGCAAAGTCTTCCATCACTGGGAAAAGCAGCAATTTACAGGACTCAGAACAAGGTACTTCCTTGCGTGTGTGCCCATATGGGTACACATCTTTTATAGTATTGTGAACGTGGATGTAACTAAAAAAAAAAATCAAGTTTGCAGTATTGTTTTACCACATTTTTCTAATTTATTCAATTAAAGGATTTATTTCTGTACTGAACAAAATTCATAAATACATCATCTAGGAGAACAATAGGTTTTCCTCTTGTCCATGAAAAAATAATGCTTTCAAATTTTCACATTTTAAAACCTGCCTTATTTTGTGTTTTTAGAGAAAATGTGAGAAGATCATAGTGACGTCTCAATTTACAGAATGTCCCTGTAGGAATTACATTTACAAGAACCTGATACAGAAGCCTATACTTTGCCCCTATAATTAGAGTTCTCTGCAATAATATTTAAACCAACAGGTTTAAATAAAACACCCCATTAACTCTACTTGTAGAGCAATGAGGTATTTATTTTTCAAGTATTAGAACCACAAAGTGTAAAAGATTCTTTGCCAATTTTACAATTATGCCTTTTAAACCAACACCCACCTTTTTAGAAAAAGAATCAGTCCCACCACCCAAATCAGCCCATTGCTTTCAGATTCCAGTGTCTTGTGTCTTAAGGAATGCAGAAATATCCATTTACTAACAGAAAAAGCTTGTTGGAAAAAGCCATATTAAGTAATGCATGTGAAGCATGATTTTTCTAGTGATGAAAGCTATTAGAAAGGTGATCCAAGTCTATTCCCATCATTTCTTCTGCTGGTTTTACTAAAGTCCTTCCAAAAAAGATATTCAATAAATCTTTAAAAAACTGGAGAGAAAAAATAAAACACTCCTTCATAGCATGGAAGAAACTCCACTGACTGCAGAGATGCTCATATCACCTTTGGTTCTTCAGAAGAAACAATCAGATCACTTCTACAACAAAAGGCATCAAAAATGACAGGTCAGCAAAGAGTGACAATGCTTACTTCAAAATGCTATGTATTTACGCAATTATTTTATTGTAAGATTATTTTCCTTACATTTTCTAGCCACAGAAAAAGAAAATGGTAGTCCAATTTAATCTGCTAAATTGGTATTTGTTTACCTACCATCCTTTAAAAGTTGTGATGCAATTCAGAAAGGTCTAGTGTGCTGCAAACCACTTGATGAGGGAAACACATCCAGAATTTTACAGAAAAGGTAGGTACCAGCTCCCCTTCTGCATGTGCGTATCAGATATTACACTTGCAGAACTGGAACATGGTTGCTGATCATAAGCTAGGAACAGCAGTTGTCACTTATCATTTCTGTTTGAAAGCACAGGGCAAACATTTTCAAGCAACTTCAAATGGCAGAAAGTACACTGTAACTGAGAAGCCCCCCCTCAAAGAAAAGATAAGGCCTCACCATAATTTGCACAGCATCTGTATGTACTTGGCATGCATAGCTTTACAAAGTGGAGATATGCTCCTTTCCCCAAATAATATGGGGTATAAAAATGGTTAAATTAATCAACTTATAGCAATTAAAAGCTCTAGGTCCTCTGTCAATTACAACACATTACAAATGTCAACGAACCAAGGTGAACCTACCTGCTGTTTGATGTGTTTGAACACTATCTACCTGAGGCAAGAGGGTCCCCTTATCTTCAAAGGCTAGAATTGGATTCAAAGGAATTTCAGGACTATTGCTTCCATCATTGTTCATGGCATCCAGCCGGGATGGCTTAGAACCAATAGGCAGGTTTATGATCTCTTCAAAGTTATCATTCTGCATAGATGTTCCATTTTCGTTTGCATTTTTCTCTGGATTGAGATTGCTGAAAGAGAAACAGGTATTTCCTCATATGCTTCATCTAGAACAGAAATTTAGTCCTCCTCAAAGCAGTATTACAAATGGAAGAAGAGTCTGCATTAATTCTGAGCGTTCTTTTAGCCAGTAAAAACAGAACTATGCTTCTATCACAGTAGAAAACCCATTTTTGCAGCCAAGTACTAGACATGCCTTCCCTCAATCACATGGGATAGTTGTTACGTGTGGCTACACAACACTCAGAACTACAGAGAGCTTTATGGACACTGCAGTTCTGAGAAGTGACTGCAATGGGAAGCAGAAAGAAACCCCCTGCAGCACCACCACTGCTATCTTGAGTCACCCACCTAATGCAATTTGCAGCCTCTAACATTTTTTTCACCTCTCATAACCTTTGCCATACCCTTCCTCTTATTGCAAATCAACATAATTGCCCTTAGGTAAGATCACTGGCATTTTTGTTATTTCTTGGATCACCTCCTGCCTCCAGTTTTGGAGCAGCCTCTTCTACCTGCCACCGATCCAGAGAAAAAACTCCCTTACTAATGCAGTTCTCCTTTCAGTCCCTCCTCCCCTACAAGTTCTTAGGGCTTATTTCCAAGGCACAACCCAGCTCTGCACCCCTCCCATTGATCATGCCCAAGCCAAAGGAAACCCCTCCCAGCATCCCTCATGGCAAGCGGCACTTTCTTCTTCCATCTCCCACTGGACAGAGATGCCTTATGAGCAAGCTCCTGTACTTCTGCCCCAGTCAGAAGCAGTACAGGGACAGACACTCTCCAGTAACACATAGTCTCCTGAGAAGACACATGATCATGTCGCAGAGTCCTGCCCCTCCCCTCCCAACCCTTTTATTAGGCACCCTATCATCAAATCCTGCCGTCTTTGCAGACAGCATGCACTATCTTGCCAGAGGGGAGAAACTAAGGTGCTACTTAAGTGAACTGGATGACAGTAATGGGACCATAAGCTCCTCCAGAAAGAGCAAGTACTCAACTGACACTCAAAAATCATGTGGACTTTCACAGGTGCTTTTTAAGGCCCTCAACAGTTAGATCCTGGCTATCTTGGGTACCTACTCCCTATTCAGACCACATCACGGCTGTTCAGCTTGTTTGGAAATGCTTCAGCCACAAAGGCTCAGATGCAATTTTCCTAGACTGAAACTAGGCTATCAATTTCCTCAGGCCATTTCTGAGCAGGTGGCTTGGTTTCACAGGCTAATTTTCTCCTGACAGTACATTTACTAGTCTTAAAAAAACTGCTTGTAATTGGCATATGGTTTCATTCGCTGGCTTCTATGGTTGTCAAACTCTTCACAAACAATTACAGAATTGTTTTACAGTACTTCCCAAGAGAAAGAAAATAATTATTGCTCTTTTGAAAATGGCAGTGTTTATCCCAAGCCCAGATTTCCTGTGAGAACGATGTGCTGGTTTCCATATCAAGTCTTTCCCAGTTTTTCAGACCATCACCAGTTCTTTTTCAGAAAGGCACCCCCCTTTTTTCATCTGTGGATATGCTAAGCAAATTTCAAAGTGAAAAATATGTTTCGCTGCACTAAGTTTGAGAGCAGACACAGAAACCCTGCTGGCTGCCTGGGAGAAGTCACAAGTCACATTACCCTTTCGTGCTAGAGGTCCGCATCTGTAAGATGAGGAGCAGAATCTGTGAGATGCTTTGGGACTAATAAAACTTGCTTTGTAATGTACAGTTATTAGGTTATTATTCACTATAATATCCTATTACTTATTTCATCCCCATCTACTGCCAATAACCTTACCAGAGCTAGGATAACATGGCAAGTTTGATGGATGGGGTAAGAAACAGGCAGGAAGAGAGCAACTCTCATTCATATAAATTAAAACAGCATAGTACTTCAAGTGTTGGTACCATGAAGAAGCCTCCTGCTTCTGCAAACATATTAATTTTTCTATCCAATTGATCAGCTGACTTAAAAGAAATAAGTTTTCATATTTATTTGTCATTGCACTGTCAGTATTACACACCGAGTTAGACCAGGATTCACAGACTTGAACAATGTCTTCTGAGACACAGGAGTCTATACAATCACAAAGGGGGTACAGAAGACGAAACCACAACTATGAATCTTCTAAATTTTATGCTATAAAATCTTCTCTATTTCCTGCTATTTGCTCCACCAAATTACTAGGGGAGCAAATTTAGAAGAAACAAAGGGAAAAATGGAACTGTGGAATTAATTTCCACTGGACATCTTGGAGGCCATAAGCTCAAAAGGAGATTAGACAAATTCCTAGGAGATTGGTATACCCTCCAGCTTCTGGTAATTAGCAGCTTAGGGACTACTTGAGCCTGTGGTTGCATTTGGACCACAATGCTTAGTAACCCTTCATTGACCAGAGGATTTCCTGGTACTTACCTTTTTTCCTTTGCACTCTCTCCCCAGGTGACTGCTACAGGCCATTAAAGCAAAGAACACACAAAAGTAATGGATTTTTGACCTGCTTCAGCTGCTCTTACTGTCTTATGTTACATTCTTAGCGATGTCTCAGTGTCCAATGCAACACTGGAGATAGCCTTTTCAGACATACAATATTGCAGAAAGAACTGGATAATTTTGGCATTCTAAGATACGCTGTAAGTGTGCTTGTAGCAAGACACCTACATAATAAATTAAAAAAAAAAAAAAAAGTTGCCCGAGTTGTTCAGAGTGCATTTCCAAATGTAACAGTCTTGCAAGCATCTGAAGGACAGCTTCATGGCAACTAAAAAGCATCTGTGCGGCTTCACATTTTGATCTGGACACATCAATATTGACAAGGCAGACTAGAGGAAGTTGAAAGAAGAGCAGCTAATTTAATTAAAGGAACTGGAACATCCAAAAAGTGAAAAACTACTGAACATTACATCTGATTTAGATAATTTTAGCCAAAGCTCTATGTAAACATAAACTATATTTAGAGAGAGTAAAGAAGGAAGAAAGAAGGCCAGAACTTAGTATGTCTGTTTCTGATCATCCATGGGAAATCAACACCAAATAAGAAAAAAATAGAATAAAATACTGATTTGTACACCTTTGGAAAGTGCCAAAATATTTCCACAGCTGCTATTCCTGATCTGAAGGACAATGTCAGTTGCCTCATTTATTTACATGATTTTAGCAGAGGTGTCACAGGGAGACATTAATAGCAAAACAGACCCCAGACTTCTGGATGATTTAAATAAAGCAGTGTTTATTTTTAATCTGCTGAGACAGCAGCACTGAAGTCAGCCAGCAATGAGGAGCTGGAGGCCTAAAAATGAGGAGCTGGAGGCCTAAAAATGAGGAGCTGGAGGTCTAAAAAAGGAAAGGTAGTGCTGTCCTGGTTTCAGCTGGGACAGAGTTAATTGTCTTCCTAGTAGCTGGTACAGTGCAATGTTTTGAGTTCGGTATGAGAAGAATGTTAACAATACTAATGTTTTCAGTTGTTGCTAAGTAATGTTTAGTCTAAAGTCAAGGATTTTTCAGCTTCTGATGCCCAGCCAGCAAGAAGGACAGCTGACCCAAACTGGCCAACGGGGTATTCCATACCAGGTGACATCCCATTTAGTATAGGAACTGGGGGGAGTGGGTGCAGGGGGAATCGCTGCTTGGGGACTAACTGGCCCGTGGTGAGCAATTGCATTGTGCATCATTTGTATATTCCAGTCATTTTATTATTACTGTTGTCATTAGTGTTATCATTATCATTAGTAGTTTCTTCTTTTCTGTTCTATTAAGCCGTTCTTATCTCAACCCACAAGTTTTACTTCTTTTCCCGATTTTCTCCCCCATCCCACTGGGTGGGGGGAGTGAGTGAGCAGCTGCGTGGTGCTTAGTTGCTGGCTGGGGTTAAACCACGCCATGCTACAGCAAATTTCAAGTGGGCTATCCCACAGACTGAGCAATGAACACTGCATAAGAATTTGAACCCAGTAACATTCTTTTCCAGGACAAGATATTGAGGCAATCACCGTGTCTGTGTATTTCTAAAGACTGGTTATTTAGTCTACCCAGACCCAGCTCCCTTTATACAGGACAGAGACACACAGATGAGGTGAACTGCTCCCACTGAGGCCCACTGCAAGCATTTATAGAAAGCAGCACAGAAAAAAAATGGAATTACAGGATAAGAATAAGTATCATAAGGAAATACTTACAACATAAACCACTGCACTGAAATAACTTTCTGAGAGGTAGCAGACAGGATCTAATTTAGGCAAAGAATTAGAAAGTGGAAAACAAACAAAAATCTGCAAGTGGGAGATGGATTAGGCAGCTGTCCTGGTTATCTACCTCCAACTTCTATCATTGTGCCTCTTCCAGGACTCTACTGCTCAGTAAAGGAAGAAAAAATTAGAATCTTGAAAAAACCATGTTGGAATCTTTTATAATTTACAAAAAATTTGAAAATACTTCAACATTATATCTGATTTTCAAGTGACTGTTTAAAATTAATTTTTCCATTTATGGGACCCCCCCCCCCCAAACCAAAACCCAGAATCTAGCCAGAAGTTAACATGCCATTAATAATATTGTAGTATCTGTGAACTACCAGTTTTCTTGGTAATTCTAGATACTTCACTATCTAACTGGACAAATTTCCATGGTATGCTCCATTAAAAAATATATTTAGTGTTGCCCTTTCTATTGTACTACACCTGGATGAGAAATGTCTTCATTTAAGATCAATTGTGAGTCTTCTCACCACAGACTTACAGGTCAGATAAGGTCACTCCCTGCCCCACCCCCCAATAATAATTCACTGTTCTTCATTAACATTCAAGCATTAAGTTGCTTAACCAAATTTACTTGTGGAAAAGACACTCGGGGCAAGCATAGGTGGCAAAATAGAACCCTTGCAGCACCACTTAAAACTACATACCACAAAAATCATGTTCATGTTCAGACACATCATTTTAACTCGGACAACTATGTAAAAAGAAATTGTTTCTATGAACTGAGAATTCACGTAAGATCTGTTTGAAAAAACTTGAGTGCTGACATGGTAAACCAGCTCAATTCCCAAGCAAATATATCTGGGGGTTTTCTTCATGATGCAAAGTGAAGAACTTTAAGCCTAAGGAAAATTGATTAATGTTCATTTGCTTAAACACACAGGAGTAAGCATACCAATAAAAATTTTGAGAAACTATGAGGTGGGGTAGGTGATGGCACCAATCTATCACCTGCAATAAACGTTTATTAATAAAACTAAGACTTGTTGACAACAGATATACGGCAAACAATGCAGCAGATCACAGCATTTTCATTAGGGTTTATGAAGATCAATTGTCTTGAAAAGCTAATGAAATTCCAGTACAAGATCTGCACTGCTGATCAAAAGCAGCAACAGAGAATTGTGAAGTATTGAAATCAATTGCCTTCACTCTGCCAGAATTCTTTTAATTTTTCTCAGCTGCACTGTACTCATGACCATGGAAGCAAGCATGCTATTTCCAACTGAATCCCAGCCACAGAGCTGACACAGGGTGGATGACATGATGGTGAGGAATAGGGATGAAGCTTCAGCACAGTAAGCAGTCAGGCAACTTCCTATCACGCCTCAGAGTTTCACACAAACCTGTAGTAGCTTTCCAAGTCAGCCTCCTTCAACACTACTGGTGCAAGGGACAGAGCACCTGCATTGTCTGGGGAGTGACCTCAGCTACAGGTATTCTGACCCCAAATACAGCCGTTCTGGGTTTGGTCACTGAACACCGACTGCCAGTTCTGTTCAAAGACACACACACATTCAGGCTAGACCCCAGTGCTGTACAAAATAGACCCACCAACACTTAAACTTCTGTGAAACTTCCCACACTTCCTACACTGTAGGAGAATGAGACTGACTGTTGCTCTAGGCCTGAAGAAGACTCCTCTCCTTCACTCTCTTCTCTTGCCCATACAAGCACATGCCACAAGTCCGCCAGGCAAAGCCTTTTTAAGTTCTGGTCAGAAATCTGAGCTATCTTGCCCTTAAAACATGCTCAAGTCTTTTCCAGACAAAAGCCAAGTCTTTCTTGGGGCTGGAGTGAGGTGCTCACACAAGAGACCGTCTCCACCCTGTTACCCTCTTGCTGTTGTGTGTGCTATACTCTCAGGTGTATCCAGATGCCAGACAACCACAGCACATGAGATGCAGTAGCAGCGGTGTTGGCACCTGTGGCTTCTACCATGTGATAAAAATCTGTGCTGCTATCTATTCCTTACAACAGTTTTTCAGGCTGCCTGGGCTAAGCTTACACCAGGATGCTACCAAGCGCTTCAGCCTTTGCCCTCCCAGTGAGTAGGGATGTACCTCTGAAGTAGAGGGTCCCTCCACATCCCAACCTGGCATGGCAGTTTCCCCTTCCACAGCCTTATACACACTTCCTGCTTTTGTTGCTGTTCTTCAGTCTCATTTATTCATTCTTCACCTCAGCCGTTCGGAGGTTCCTTCCACATGGATTATAATGCTACAGGACAGCATTCATTAGCATGGCACATTTTATATTACAAACATCAAGGTGCATATAAGGCTGGGAGTGATTAACATTTAATAGCTGCCCGAGACAATTATGAGGCAGCTCTGTGCAGCTCATCCAATGCAGTTCAGTGCTCAGTGTCACTGACAGAACTTCTCTCAGCAGGAGCATCCTTGTCAGCATGACAGCAGGCTAAGATCCCCCAGGCATATGGAAGGACCAAGAGAGGGCAAATTCCTCCTTCAATTAGTGCCAATCACTCCCTGAAGCATACCGCCCATTACAGGCTGCGTGATGGCTTCCCACATCCAAGTTTTTCCATGCATATTCTGGCACTACCTGCATAAAATATGAAAGGACTAAGGGATTATTTGGCTTTCTGCATTACTAAAATTGAAATAACTGACAGCTCATGCTTATGTAACAGATTTCACTCGGCTCAATACTGAGGTTTCAAGCATTTCAGTGATTTCTCAAAGTCTGAGTGAAACTTGCTTCATGGCTACAGAGAGCACCCAATGTTAAATATCTGCCTCCCCAAATTCTCCTTACAGATGACAAAAGTTTTTTTTTAAAATGCAAAGCCAAAATGAGTAGTTTTGTATCTCACATTAGGGACTTTTGCTTAGTAAGCAAAACTTGCTAATACTTCAAGCAGTTCAGAAATCAAAACGTCTAGGCTGAAAGCACTGTGTTCATTATTCCAATCACAAAACTAGCACTGCGTATCCAGAGTGGTTTTTATGAAGCTTAATTCATGAAAAGGAACAGAAAAAATTGGCCCTTTCCATTAAGTTTCAATTTATGTAATAATTGCTGGCAAACAACACATTGTTCCAAACACTGCAAAGAATGTGCTGTATTTTTACAAAATTCTTCCCTATCAGTTGGCAAAAATGGGCTACTGCTAAGTGAAAGATGATAAAGTTATTTTCTGAACACAGGAAAATATAAACAGAACACAAGGCAGATTGAACAGCTGTCTCTTACTTAGTTTATGAACATGGATCTGAAAATAATTTATTACTCTAGTAACCCTCATCCTCCAAACACCCTCCAATACTTAGCAGCGTTCTTACCTGTCCATATTTACTGGGGGTTGATGTGAAACAATCACGCGCGAGCAGGTGATGGGTTTCCCGTTGTGCGGAGATTGCATCGCATGCTGAAGCTGAGGTCCTCCTGCAGGTTCCAAGGGAGATGCAGGACTGGTTATGACTAGAAAGAGAAAACAGGTTTTCATAAAACCAAACAACATCACCTACCTGCAGGTTAGGATGAAACATTTCCTACAAAAGACAGCACAGCCAAGGCAAGCTACAGTTTTAAAAAATGGAGTTCCCAACACCCCTCCTTTCCCCACCCCACCTCCTTTGTCAAGTTTTTGGGCACACAAGCCTTGTTTCAGGTCCAAAGTAAATGCCACAAATTTCAAAGCTATAGCTTTACGGACAAGAATAAATGCTTTACAATGATATACACAATTCCAACACATAAGCCAGTGGTCAAAATAGGCTGATATCTGACAGAATATTATGCTGGCACTTTTCAAGCAGCAATAGAAAATGGAATAGGAGAACACCGGGATATCATCAGTGGTATTTCTTGGTTCCTGTTTTGATTTCTGACTGTAACCCAAAAGGAAATCAAGAGGAAAAAATCTCCATGGGATGGATACTTCTTTCAACAAGTACCAAACCCTACGATAAAATGCTGTAGAGAGCAACATAAAATTAGGGTATCCTTTTGTCTCATCCAAAACCGATATGATAGATGTTACTGGCCTGCTTCAGGATGTTCTTTTAAAGTACAACTACACCCTTCTGCATTGTGTCTGCAGTCACACTAATTCACATAGAGCTCAGTAAAAGGAAGCAATTGCACCCCACCCATACTAGCATCTGTTATGATAATCACAAGGACAATTTAGTATTTGTTTCTTTTCACTGTATAAATAATTAAACTTGGTAAGCAACTCCCTCTCATTGAACACCAATGTGACTAAGTTGCTAAACCAGCTAACTCATTTAGTAATGGCTAGCTAACTACCTATATGGAAACACTAAATAATGTTTGCTAAGACTTCAGTTATACTCCTCTCATAGTTTTCTTTACTGCAATTAGTGTACCAAGTTTCAGAATTTTATCTCATTGTGCTTAGCAGGCATTTATTCACCTGTTTTGCTCAGGGCACAGTTAAACACAATACCTGCTTCTCCAGTAATATTTGCCTTTGATATATGTCCATTTTGCTGGTCATTGGGTTTCTACAAAGGAAGCACAGTTTTGTAAATTAAAAATGTCACTGAAGAAGTGAAGCATGCCCAATATTTACATATTAAGTAGCAGCACTGACCTTATCTACCGCTTCTACACGCCTAGTTCTCTTCATGATCTCCTCAAGCCTCTACAATGAAATGTAAAGGGGTTAAATAATGTTTGCTGGCATTAATTTAAAAATATCTCTCCCAACCACAACTGCTTGTCATTTATCAGTTGCATCTGTTTACTGTAGAAAGATAAATTATTTATTACTGTTGGCAATATTCCTTTCACTTTCACGTCAGGCTACACAGATGAGGACCACAGCTTTTCTGAGGGCACATTTATATCATAGATAACTTTCTACAGCTGAGGTGGAAGCAAACTGCTAAGGCAAAACAAATTACGGTTTCTCTGCATGTACTGAGTTACCTTCTTCCTTTCCAAGCGCTCTTGCTCTTCTCTTTGGAAATGCTTTTCACGTTCTAATCGAAGCCGCTCTGCCTCTTCCCGTAGGCGAGCTTCCTCTTCTTTCTGTGTTGATGGTAAAAGAAAAAGAAGTGAGAAATAATTTACTGTTTAAGGACAGATTTACACCGATATCTGCTTAACTATGCATATCTACAACACCCTGAGAAGACACTTTTGGGGTTTACAAGTCACCAACAATATTTTCAGAACAAATTGCACATTTCTTGATTAATCTCCATGTTTTGCATAGCATTAAGAGATGCGTAACTGAACAACAGACATCATATTTGGTTCTGTGCCTCTTCTGGGGCGTGTGCATTAAAGCACACCAGATGACAAATAAGGAATACATTTCCTAACCTTCAGCATTAAAAGAGCAGCCAGGAAAGTATTAAAGAGATTCACGTTTTGAGTGGTGGATGTTTTTGAGAGTCAAACAAAAGCAGCAGAACGTTTTATTTGGCCAACAGAGTCATCACTTAATGAGACCAAGGACAAACAGCCACAGGTACATTTGTACAAGCTTTCCATTCCTGCTCTTTTAATTAAATGTAAGATTTGTCTGGAATATACTGTAGAAAGGCCTTGCTCCCCAACAGAGACAGTGTTGTATGATGGAACTGCTACAAGTTCATTTGTTATGGCTGTAACATCTAAAAAAAACTTGGCCATGTGCTATCTCTGAGTGCTAAACTGGGGATGTACCTCAGTTTAGCATTTCAAAGAAAGCAGCGTACATCTTCTGAAAAAGAAAATTGCCATTTCTAAGCTGTATTCACTAATACAATTCTTGAAACATCTATTTCGGGAGCATACATTTAATTATATACCAGAAGAAAAAAACCTAACATCTATAAGGCAGATTGAAGTGCTGAATCTTGGGGGCAAGAAAGCACATGCAAAAAGTAAGAGCACATGTGAGAAGAGAAGAATCCTATCCAGAATGCTTACCACAGCCTCTCCTGAAGTTGGTAAACCAACATTATGCCCATCAAAAATGTCAGCACTTGAAAAATTGTATTTTGATTTATTTACTGTTATGTATTTTGAGTAGCTGCTCTGATTTCAGGAGGACTGCACCAGGTGAACGTTCTCCTTGGCTTGACTAAAGTGATCAAAACCTACCCCTTCCCACTAGCCCCACACAAAAGTAATATTGGGCATAGGCTTAGAACTCAGCAGTGCTGTCTCCAACACTCTAAATAGTTATTTTGGCATCTAGACTTTCTATAACTGTGACGACAAAGAGCTCCCTGGTATAATACCATTCATTAAAACCCCCCAATACAACTCTTATTGATTTTTTCATCTTGATTTATCAGGAACAGGAAAAGATTTGTTCTAAATAAATAAATTCTACAGGGAAAAAAACAAAACAAAACTTAACTCCCTACCACATGTTTTTGTCAAGAAGATATATCCTTACTCTTTGAACCACTCTATGGTATGAACTCTGCCCCAACCATATTCACTTTATAGATAGCACTTAAATTTTAGATATCCCTCTAATCTAGGTGCTGCATAAGAGATGTTGCTTCATCCACTTCACTGCCAACTCAACTGGCACAGAAATTCCAGGAGGGGAGCATACTTGTTTCTGAACGCGCTCCAGCTCTTCTTTCTCTTTCTGTTCTCTCTCTTCTGCCTGTCGGCGCAGCCGTTCTTCCTTTTCCCGCCCCTCCTCTGCTTCCTTTCGTTTTTTTTCTGCTTCCTGTCTGCGAGCTTCTTCCTCTTCTCGGCGAGCTCTTTCTTCAGCTATCCTCTGTGACAGCTCCTCCTTCTTTTGCCTGCAATCATGAAACAAGCATAAGAAAAATACGTAAAAAAAAAAAAGGAGGGGAAAACCCCAAACCACCAGATTCCTGACCCAAAACACCAGCACTGCAGAACAGCTGGATAATGGTTGCACTGCTGTCTCATTCAGAAGCTGCCTGTTCTGCTTCCAGCAGGGACCAAAGGTGAAGCTCTGTGGAACACAAAAATCTTTGCAAGGTAATACCAGTAATTCTCCAGCATATGCCTGGCTTTCACTGATCTATGACTCGTGTACTTTCTGAATCAGAAACAGTATCATTGACTTTAATACATCTTGCAAAACACTTCTTTCTGTAATTTAATTTAATCATACTTTGAAATAGTATACATTTTTGGCACCCATCTTATCTTGTGGCAATGACTCCTGAATTTAAAAAAAGTATCTAATTCTGCTGATCTTTGAATGTTACCTCCTAACCTCACTTAATACCCCCTCATCCTTGTATTATGGGAGTGAATAACTTTTCCCCTTCACCTTTGATGTTACCCAAATTATTTAGGACTTTGTAGCTTATCATATCCCCACTCAGAAGTAGAGGGCAGATGGTCTTCCCAGCTGAAGAATCCTCACCTGTTTAGTAGATTTTCATATGGGAGCTGTTCTATACTTGTGATCATCCTTGATGTCTGTCTGCACTTGTTTTCCTAGTTTTACTGATTTTACTGTGTCAAAAACGTAAAACTCAACATTCAAGACATGGATTCACCTTGGATAGTTCAGAATGACATTTTCATTTTGTTCTCCTTTTCTAGTAACTCGAAACAGTTCATTTATTTCATTGACCATGACTCACCTGATACTTTCATATACTCAACTCCAAACAAGATCTCTTCCCTCAGAAATAATTAGTGCAGAGACCACCACCACCACTACATGAGTTAAGTTAGGGTTATTTCCTTATACGCATTCCTTCATGCTTAGCAGTATTGAAATTCAGCTTCCGTTTTTTTTCTCAGCAATATAAGATATGTCTGAAACTCTTCTGCTTTATCTCACTGAATACCAGCATTATCTCACTGGCCACAACGCCTTTCAAGTTCATTTATGAAGGCACTGCACAGAGACTGAAAACTCCTTTCACTGTGAAAGCTGATTATTCTTTACCTTTTGTTTTCAATCTTTCAGTCTTAGTATTTATTCACCATATTACTCTTATGCCACAGCAGCTTCTTTTCTTTACAACCCTTTTTGAGAGGCACCATGTCGTGAGCCTTTTAGAAAGCCAGGCTATTTTAACTGGCTCTGCCTTGTTCCTATGTTCAGCAATGTTGTTAAAGAACTCCAACAAATTCCAGAGGCATGGCATCCCTCTAAAAAGGCGCTCAACTTGTGTTATAGTCACAGTCATAAGTATCCAGATGGGCTACTCATTTGCTAGTAGGAAAATGAGACACATCATCAATTACCTTCCAAAACTGTTGAGAATCTTGATTTTAAATGAAAAAACAAAGAGTTTTGTCACAGCTGTTGGACACCTAAACACCACCCATGGTAGAGATCTTGCAATTCAAAGTAAGACATTGTGCCAGTCACAAAGTTGAAAGCTGTGCAGTTCTCTAGCTGGAACAGCTTTGTAAATCTCTGAGGAAACAATGAACCACTACACCAAGGATCTGCTCTCTCCTCCTGTCCTATTTTAAAGCATTATTTGGGATAAGTTTTAACCTTACAGATCTGCTTAGGTAGATATTGCACCTACAAAAAACCCCAACAGGAAAATTTGTTTTTCAGGGAGGAACTCGTGCCTCCTGCACCTCAGTACTGTGCTTCATATATCACAATATCACAACAGAATATACACAAGAAGCTGCTAGGAGGCTATATCTTCTCCACTGCAGAGGTCTAGAATCACCTTTCAAGCTCTTCTCTCTCCCTCCTTTCTTGCTCTTCCCGTTCCCGCTGCTCACGGGCAAGGCGCCTCTTCTCAGTCAGCAGCCTTGTTGCTTCTTCAGGGTCAGTCGTACCCGCAGAGGTCTTTGTGGGGGCTGGGGGTGGAGAAAGAGCTGGCGGAGCAGTAGGTAGGGATGGGCTGGCTGCTGAAACAGGTGGGAAGGAAAACTAGTTTGTACAGACACAGTAAGCCAAGATGGCATTCTCTTGAAAGGAACAGAAACTAGTTTCAAATACTCTGGAAAATATTTTCAAGCTTATGTAGTTTTAGAAATGATTCAGAGGAGGAAGAAATTTCTAGATGCTAGGGGTTCATATTCCTTAAGGGAAGCTTTGTTTTTACAGGATATGTGAAAGCAGCTGCAGTTGAAAGGTTAAGCCAACTTTTCTGTCAGAAGAATAAATAGTGACAGGTGCTCAACAGGAGTTATGCTGACTCAGCAAGTCCCTACCATCACATTTCTTAAGTTTGCCCAGTGCCATTCAGAAAACAGAAATGAAACATTGTGATACTATATTTTCTTCTATCTGATAGTCTACATCTGAAAAACAGAGCCAGACTTTTTGGTGATAGGCCAGTCACTTCTGGTGAGTTGGTGATCTCAAATATTAACTGACTGAAGTGATCTGCAATAAGGGTAGGACACCAACTATCATCAGGTTTGCAGTTACTCCAAACCTGAGGCAACTCGTGGGACCAGAACGCAGCTTCTGAACAAGCTTTGCCACTATTGGTGAACTATGGCTTGTGTGCAAATCTTAATAGTGTCTTCATATAAATTCTTTATCCAGGACCAGCTTTGGCCACCTGGTAGGGAAGGTGTTACAGGTTTTTCTCAAGTAAAACACTAGTTCACATTTCTGTAAGCTTGCCTGGCATTCTCTAGCGTAGGTACAGAGCACCTCAACTGTGCTTTTCCTCTAGAGGCCAGGGACCATGACCAACACACAAGCTAACTGAAGGAAGCATTCCCAGGGCAATCACATCCAGTAACGCAGACAAACACGGGTAGGGAAGACTTTGAACTGTCAGTGGAATCAGATTCTGATCCTGGGAAGATACATGTAAAATAAGTCATCAGAAACAGCCAGGAGATGATTTTAAATCTACATTTCTAACCACCCTTTGGTATATTACAGCATTTTCCTCACCTCACTAACAACTTCCAAGAGGGGTTTCCTTCCCAATTCCCCCCTCCTACACCTCGTCATGTATACTAACACAAAATCAGCTGCTTGCTTTGTGCTGAATGCTCACATCTGCTGACATCTCTGCTCTTTTCTTCTGTCAAGTAAAAACTATGCAAGCGTTTCGATAACTGCCTCAGGGCTTTCACCCTGAATTCAAGTAATACATGTACACCAGTAATTTAAAGAGTGCCAGGGCCTGTTCTCTAGTCCTGAGGTGAGCTGGCACAGTTTAGCCTCAGCCAGAGCACTATTCTCTCACGTTACCAAAACAGGTATTCAGTCCACCCCTAGGAAACAGTCCAGGCCTGGGCTAACCTCCAAGATGCAGCTGTGAACTCAGAAAATTCTGGGGTGATCAAATATAAAAGCTAAGTAATTTGATCACTCTAAAGCTTGGGAGCCCTTTAGAGCTATGCTCTTAGTAGCCTTGGGGACAGAAGGTTTGAAAATGTGGGGCTGCAATTACAACCTAGACCAGAAACATAGCCAAAAGCCTTTGTAATAGTTAAACTGTATAAATGACAGAGCTCCTGCACCTCAGCCCTTTTTAATTTACTAACATGGACCAAGGCAGGGCTGTCACTCCTGAAGAGAGCACAGCTTTGTGCTGCTTGGGGCTCACTTCTTGCCTCAGGTGCTGAAGCTGGCAGCATAACAAGTAGTCTGTTTGATGCACACCTGCCCTGCTGTCAGAAAAGATGACAACAGCTTGCACAGGCATACCCAAAATACCTTTAAAGTATTAGTAAAGTCATGCGAGTTTTGCCTCCAAAAGCTCGAACAGCTCCATCAGTGACCATTACCTGTTGACCTCCTGGCTCCTGTGACTACAGAGCTAGCAGGTAGCTAAGCCAGACAGGTTAAAGGCCAGTGCAGTTAACTGGCAGAAATTAGCTATGTTCGCCTGCGACACAGACCTGAGAGAATCAGCAATGTCCCTCTAGCCCCAAATGCTGCACTTGCCCCTCTCTAGATTCTTGCATTCAACCAGTGGCCAGGTTTTGGCCACTGGGCTTCCATCTGCAGTACAAAGCCTGTCCTCTAACCTCACATGTAAAATGCTTAGCCTAAGGTCTCAATCTTTGGTCCCAACTACCACTTCCTCTGGCTTTGGCAAAAGACATCCAATTTGAAGTGCTGTTCAGCACTTGGACTATAGTATCCTTCTCTTTGGCCCCTCTCCACTACCTGTTTCTTTGCTGTGAATACAAACTACTTCACTTTTGAATATCTTTATCACACATAACTTGTTTTGATACTAAGTGACCTTGTCACATACTCAATATTGACTGACTCTGCAAAGAAGTTGAGCCTCTCTTCCTCCCGAGCTAAACAGCCAAACAAGCCTGACGATGTTTCTCTGGTCTGCACCTTGTACTTCGGAACTACAATTTGTAAACATTTGTAAAGTCTTCTCAGTGGTGTCCCTGAAATCCTTTTAAAAGGAAGCTTTCTCCTTAAAAGGAAGCAGGCAAAAGGCTATCAGAAGGGTAGTGAAAACCCATGCTAACATGGCAATTATCTCATATCTTCTTTACATGCCCATGGCCAACAGATGCATCCATTTATTGCTGTAAATCTCTAGCTTTTCATGGGGTTGCACCTTGTGTGGTAGGACCTGGGTATCAGACTGGAACTACTGTAACAAAACTTAATAGAACAAAAGAAATCAATTCACATCAGCTTGTCTCACAGAAGAACAACCCCCAACTACACATCTTGCAGTTAAAAGCAAGATTATTAATACTTAAAACTGTTTTCTGAAGGACAATCACAGGGGAATTTATGAATTTTAAGTTCAGAATCCTAAGCAGCCCTTCCTGGTAATCCCAGTGGTCACAATGGCCATTCTATCCCATCTGCGAAACAGACAGTTTATGCCATATTTACAATAGACTAAAGCGTCTGCTAGAACAAACCTACATTTTTCATTTTCAGATTTACCTTTTGCCCTTCCTACATTTTATGATCATTATTTTATTTTGCATGTACATCCTTTTCTGCCTTGCTGCTTTTCAGGGTTGGTGTGGTTTGGTGCAAGGGTTTTTTGTTTGTTTGTTGGGTAATTTTTTTTTTTTAAATAACTCATTTTGCCTGAAAAATTCTGCCTATTCCTTTACTCTTCTCCTTGGTTCTCCTCTGCATTCCACTTTATCCTGCTAGTATCTCCCATGATGTGGTACTCTTGCAATATTATAGGTAAGATGGTAGTGTTATCAGCACAACTGTACTGAGTGTCTAGCAGAGCTGGACATTCGCACTGCTCACACTACCTTATGTGGTGGCTTACTGTACCATTAGTCTTCAGATCATTATTATTCTACTTCAACAGTTTGAAAAGAAGCTGTGAGAAGAGGGCTGTGAAGCCACACTGTGCGAGACAGGTCTGCATGTTGCTTTGACTGTTCCAGACAGGAGGGCTTCAACCTGTTTACACTTTCCTCATAACGAACATACATCTGCAAAAACGTTCTTAAGAATTTAGATTAACATTTGATAGAAAACTACTGAAAGCTATGTTGTTTCAGAGAAAGGGAGGGAAGAACATAACAGACTCTCAGATATTCCTTAACCTAAAGGAGGGTCTCTCCTTACCTTGAGTGAGATCTGCCTGGACAGCAAGCTCTTCCCGACTTGCAGATTCTCCAGTACCTACTGAAGTTCCTTTACTCTCTTCTGTCCTCTCCTCATTGGCCTTTTCAGCCTCCTTTTCTGGTCTTTTCTTCTCACTCTCTGGTTTGACCTCTTTTTTGACTGGCCGGATGTTGCCAGGAGAAGGAGGACGTACCTGAGTAGAGGAAACTTTGGAGGAACCAGGTGGGGAAGTTATCTGCTTGGGTGTGCCAGGCAAAAAAGGCAAAGACTTTGATGCATGCCTGTGTAACCAAAGAGTGACAATCGCTATCAGACATGCTCTGCTGGACACCACTTACACATCACTTCTACAACTACAATAGCTAAAATTAAAACAACTTCTCTATTTCTCTGCTATCAAGCAGGACTGCTGGAGCAACTGATAAGCTTTCATGCAAAATGCTTGTCTTTGCAACTCTCCAGATATGTGAGCATTGAGCCCAGCCAAGAGGGAAGAAACCGGGTATCTTCCTCCTCCTTCCCCTTCCTCAAAGCAGTAGTAATATTTTTCTAAGAGCAGGACTGTCTTTCCTTTGTTGCAGAGAGAAAACATCTACATCACAAAATAAGTTTGCACTTTTTCACATTCAGTAGAACAATCGGAGCTGCCTATAGCTTAACCTCCGGCTAAGCATGTACTTAGCTTACCAGACTGGAGAGGGAGCTGGTGATCTAGTTTTGGGGTTGGAAGAAAAATGACCTCCTTTAAAGCTGGCTGAGAAGCTGGATGACAAATGGTCTCTCTCCTTTTTTTTGTCAGTCTACGGTTCAGCAAACAAAAAGACAAAGTCAAGCCAGAGTTCACACGGCTAAAGAAAGCAAAGCAAGCTCAGTTAAGGATGAGGGGTTGGGGGGCTTAGAAAAAGCAGTGCTGAGTCAGTAGTTTCCACAGCCTTTTTAACAAGTTCATTAATATAGCCCCTGTAATCTGACACCATCTTTGTCCGTAAATATGCATTTGACAACAAGAATCCTTAATCGTGTTCTCTACTATCCTAAACCGTAGTAGTGGGCTAATTTGCAGGGGCTTATTTTTACACAGGCAAAAAATTACCTTTTAAGGTTTGATCTTTGCCAATTGCCACAGAGTACCTTCCTCTACTCCCCATAAACCCAGGATTTCATTTGAAGAAAGAGCAAAACACTCCCCCCAACTCTCCTAGGCTCACACTTAGACAGTTCCTACATAGCACAAGCTTTTTGCTTTCATGCTTGTACGTGAACACCACAGATGTCCTCAAAGCCCTCAAACATAGTACAACAGTTATCCTATTCTTTTTTTCTTGGATGCTTTCACAGCACATACTTTTTTTGCCATTGATTCTTATACATTGTAGCAATTTCCTCTTTTTCCTTCTTTATTTCTCATGCTAGGATTTTATTTTAAAAAATATTTCTGTTATAGCTCTGGTTTGTATTAATAGAACTATTGGTTTAAAGGAATAAATCAGAATTTAGACACTTACAAACTTCATTTAACTTCAGGGTTTTGGAATAATGAGCTCAGACTCTGGGAGTCTGAAGAAAGGCAATAATGGAGAGTACGCTGAGCTGCAACTCAGTGAACGTGATGCAGAGGGGCTGCTACTCATCACCTTGGCTGGGGCTTAAGCACAACCCCTGCAGCATGTGTACCGCACTGCTTTAGAACCTCATTAGCTGAGAGCTCTGCAATGCTCATCTCCTGAACTGAAAACCAGGTTAACAACTGGAAAAGAAAGACTCAAAACAACTTCATGAATGCATAAATCCTTGGTTTATCTTCATAAATCCAAGAGGGTTTTTTTAGTCATTATGGTTAATATTTGTTGTTTTAAATTGTCCAAAACATAACTTAATATGTAGCAATAGGTGGTCTGAGTCCTGAAGTCATTACTCAAGCCAGCTCTTTGGCTGTATAATTTATCAGATATCTACTGATTAATATGATAATCAGCTGAGTTATCAAAGCATACAGAGGCAGAGTAAATGCATTCCAATGAACAAGAATTTTGGCTCACTAAGCAATAATCTATATTGCATCTACTTTATTAGTCTTGAAAACAGAGCATCAGAAAATTTTTCTTAATAAAGTAAAAACTCAATTCCTACAAAAGTTTACAGAAGAATAAAAGATTCTCCACAGCATACAGGCTACTGAAAACAGCTCTTAACTCAGTCATTTTATATTAACAACATTTTAAAATTGCCTCCTCCACCAAAATGTGCCAACCTTTCTTCTTTTTAATTAAAAAAAAACCCAAACCCAAAACCAAACCAAAAAACCAAAACCCAAACCACTTGCAATGAGAAAGACCCAAGAGGTGTTAAACTGATAGCCCTTGAGATTGCAACACACTATGCGCACGCTATGAGATTTTTCCGCAGATAGATCCCAGTGCTGCGCCTTAACTTAAACTTCAGTATACTACCATCTGCCTGAAAGATTAAGTATGAGCTATGATGCATGAGACTTTCATTAACACTGCTTCCAACAAGGATTTCAGTAGCAGCACTGCCTCTTGACGTTTTGCCTATCAAGCCAAATGAAAATGCAAGCACCTCTGACACAATCATTTGCAGAGATGACTCCACTCTTCTCACACTCTAAACAAACTCAGGCTGTAGAGTACAAGATAAAATATAACTGCTCTAATTCAGCAAATGATACCTGAACTGGAGCTGACTGTATCCCGTTGGCTTGGAGCACAGTCAACATGAATTCAGTCTGCCTGTATCACACTGTTCTGATTTTCCCTGAAAGCTCAGATCAGTCACAGTAGTGCTACCAAGTCATTCAGAATGAACAGGTGATCTGTGGGAAGCCTCGCTTACAAACCATGCTCCTAAACCAACCCTTTCCTTCTCAACAAGGAAGAGTTTACTAGCATGGTCTCCTAAGAAAGTAAAGCTGAAGTGACAGTGCTCTGTGTGCTTATGTATATAGACATGTGAGAGTGCATGCCTTCCTCCCTCTTTATCCCAGATACCCAGCTGAATTTGCTAGAGGCCTCAGAAGATACAAAATTCTACAGGCTTTGTGAAAACAGGTTGCTGGGAAAAACAGATTCGCCACTGAGGGAAAAGCTGCAACACCAGCTTGGGCCTTAAAATTCAGCAAAGAATCCACGTGAGAAAAGGGCACACACACTGCAACTGCCTCTGTGCCTCATGAGAGCAAAGGCATCCACTCTGCAAACATGGGTGTCTGGAAAACACGGGTGTTTTTCCGCATGGATTCTTTGGTGCATAATCAGGCCACGTCACCACATTATGTGGTATGTTTTGCTTAAAATCCAGCCAACTATGAAACAAATTGGAGGGGGTGGGGACAGCGCAAAGGGGAGGATCAGACTTAGTCAAGCATCCTTGCAACTGTTCTGTCCTAACAGGCAATGCAATCAGGTGGTCATGGCATGAGACACTAGTTTACATACAACTGGCATGCTTACCCCTGCAAGATGCGTTGTTCTCCTACGTCCAACAGCATCAGTAGAGGCATAAAGTTTTGCTCGGTCTCCTGGATTCCTACAGTTCATGGCCTTGTAGGACAGAGGACTGATGGGGCTGCAAGATGCTGAACGGGGACAAATGGGGATAACTACGGTGTTGGTTGGTTTTGTTATTTATTAATTTTAATTACAGAGCAGCATTGGAGAATTGACAGAGGAAAGCCAGCAGGAACAGAAACAACCGAGAAAGACAGAAGAGAAAGAAGGTATTAATACACAGAGGAACGACTAATTCTCAAGTCAGAACCATCATTTGATACATTAGCTTGGCCACATGTATAGTAATGATACAATCTCAGTAGGCATTCACATACTGTTCCATTTGTAAACTAATAATTTCTTTTACATAAATTAAGAAATATGCCACACAACTGGGTAATAGAAAGTAACAATATTTTTCTCTTAAGTTTTTATACAACTGGTGGTTCTGAAAAAGCAGTGGACACAATGACTAGTCTGATTAGCTTAGTACATGCATTGATGTGAGTTTCGATTACATTTGGAATAGAAAACAATCAAACTAAAATCAGAATGCCTATTAATTGGTCTTAGAAGTGGAGGAAAATAAAAGGAGACATACACACAAAGATCAAAACACATTAACCATACAAAACTGTTTCACCTAGGAAATCAGTGAAATTGCTGTCTACAATTTTTAGCAAGTATTGTGTTTTTAAAAGTCCCTCTTTAGGAATATTTGAAGCCCATCCATTTAAGAACTTTTAATATTTCTTGATAATGGTAGAATAACAGCTGACTCAAATACAGTCTCGACAGCAAACTATTTTACACACTACAAAAAGCAGGCTAGCAACAACAAGTCAACTTGAAAATTAATATTTGTTTGAGTAACCAGGATGGCAGTTTTTGTTGGTTTGCACACAGACAAAGACTGTTACCAAAAGATCTCCTGCCAATGGCAGATTGTCAGATATATGGTATTCTGATTACATATTTAAAAAGAATTTTAACACTGCAAAACTTATCATGGAGAACTTCTTGCAGCAAAGTATTCCTGGACTTTCTCTTAATTTAACTGAAGGAAAAGACTGAGGAAAACTATGTTATTACTGCAGAGTTTTATTTGTCTGCTCCTATTTGTCTTTCCTGGTCAATTAATATAATCTTAGCATAATTATTATTCAGGATGTTACCTGATGGAAAAGTAGAGCTTCTATATGGTATCTTCCCTATCTTTTTTTTTTTTTTTTTTTTTTTTTTTTAAAAAAAAAAAAAAATTCATCCCCCATTTTTTTTGAAAAAAAACCCCAACATTTCTTGCCTGTAGATCCCTCTCTGAGCACACTTGAAAGAATGCGGTTCCACATACAGTTAATTCTTCCAGTCTTACAACAGTACAGCTGCTGTTACAGAAAAAGCTCATAGACTTAACAGTACTAATGCTGCAAATTCTCCTGCACTGAGAGATTAACATTATGAATAAAGAGAGTCTCATGTAAGTGTTACAGCAACAGCACTCCTGCTTGCATATCATTTATAGGGATTTATGCTTAATGAGGTATTATGACCAACTTAGAAAATAAACAAATAAAAATTGAGAAATAAGAAAACAGGGGCTGGTTTTGTTTTTGTTTGGTTGAGTGTATCCAAACCAGATAGGAAGCCATGGCACAACGTATGTTTTAAACAGCTTATAATTTATGTGGTTCCCACCCTCTATGAATCAATTCTCTTGCTGCGTGGCAATTATCTGAAGTTACCATCAAGGATGACATCATAAGTATTAAAAGACAAGCAGTTCATTTTCATTTGCGAAGTTGCCAAACAATGCTTTAGGAAGCACTCCCAGTGAATCCTGTACCAACAGGATTACATCTATTCAGAGGAGCTTTTGGAGAGTTATTTAAAAAACATTTTGGTTTTGGATGGTTATTTAAAAAGATCCAGACGTACTCTTATGCTGGATGTCCCTAATAGCTCACTTAAATTTTAAGGGCATGAATCCATATTTAATTTGATTTTGATTTTTTACATTGTAATTTATATTTACAGCCAAAGGGCAGAGTAATTTTCTAGGGAATAATGACAGGCTGGGATGAGCTGTGTGCTCAGAGCACAGCTGTGAGCCATTACCACCACCTGATCATTAATCTCCAGGAAGTGTCCTGCATGAACGGACTGCAGTTATCACTCCTAGAGAATAATACCTGGAAAACAATGAGCAGATGGATTATTCTTCTGGGTGGTACAGTTCCAGTTAGCATAGGGAAAGCATTTCAGGGAATTACCTCAGACTGATGACTGATAAATCAGTCATTCCTGCTATTTGCAATCCTTCTCAACATTCCACTCAGTTTAGAGCTTATTGTGCAGTATAAACAATAGCAGTCACAAAAAAATCTTCACGCCTGCTCCAGTAGAGTAACCACTTACAAAATTAAGACGCTGCTTTCTCAACTATTCCCTAACAACAAGCTGAATTTCCAATATCCTGCCTGGTAGATGACATTAAGTATTCATTTTACAAACTGTTGTTTGTGAAGAGTGAAAAAGGATTCTGTACTTGTTAATTCCACTGTTTGTAAAATATCATCCACATTTTCACTCCTACAGCACTACCCTGTGGAAATGTACTGCAGTCTAATTAGTTATAAGAGTTCTTAAGTGAAAGCTTCTTTAAAATCTTTTAATCTTAGCAGATCTCTATTCCTTCTTACCTTCTACGTCCTTTAATTAGAATAAAAATCCTGTCCATATCAGACAGGAAAAGACCTGCCTAGACTTAAACATTCAGCATGTGCAGCAATATACTATTGTAATGGTAAAGTCTGCAGTGCATGATCATAAAGCATCCCATGATAAAAGAAGAGGCAGCTGTCACCTGCCTAAAATACATGATAAGCAAATATGTCCTGGTTGTCCTTAGACTACAGTTTTGCCTGGGCTTTAAGTTACAACCTAGCAATATTTTCACATTTCTGAAGGTTAATTTTCCCCTCAGTAAGTACATCAGAGAGCTGTTCTAGGGTTGGCAGAGAACTTTACTATTATCATAACCTCACTAAACCTGCACATTTAACTTTATATGTATTAAATCCACTGCAACCAGGGCCTATCTTTCTACAAGTCTAACTTGTTCCATGTGGGAAGTGCCCTGGTAGAGAGTGAAACTGTTCTCTGCAGCAAGCAGCTCACAACCTTAGCAGTGGGTGTGCTGAATCAGCTTTCTACAACATTGTGTGCATTTCCTTAAACGGCCACAGACAGTGTGACATTGTTGTCCTGCGTGTGTTGTATTCATTTATTGCACCAATAAAGAGGCAAAAGAAATTAAGAAAGGGGTCGTGGGAGAAAGAGAAAGAGGCATAGCAAACAACTGTACAAACAAGCTTTCATGCAGTCACACGATGTAATTGTGGACATTCAAACTCATTCTGGGATGCTACCGTACACTCATAATTAGATCAATAACTTTACAACATCCCACAGGGAATCTGGAAAAATAAGTGGCTGAGACACGAAGCCTCTGTTCTTATAGGTTTACCTGCATCTCCAGACAATGCAGCTGTGCTTTTACTTCGGGCCAGGAATGAGTGAGTGGGCGTCAGGAGCCTGCTAACGATGCTGCTCTCCCATGGACTAAGCTGTAGACGCCGAGCTGAACGTACACCATACAAGCAAGATGTTAGATCAAACGCTTCACAAATAACTACATGTTGCAGAAGTATTAGTATTATCTCCTCACTACTGCATACCATGAAAATCTTGAAACTGTTCTTCAGAGATCAAAAGCATACAATCATTCAGTGTTTCTTACTCCATTTTAGTAGAGGAATTCCTAAAGGAACACATATATCTGAACATTTAATTTGTGTTACTGCCTGTGGCATTATGGCAAATTTATCAAACTAATACTGATATTTTGCACATATGCCACATTCCCTATTAGGGTTGACAGGGTAACCTCTGTACTAGGAGAGCAGTTGCCACTCCTAAATATAGACTTTGACAGAGATGTTTGTGTCCCAAACTCTTTCTACACATAAGGTATATAGTCTTCTAGTTACAAAAAAGAGCAATTACAACACCTTCCAAAGTCTGCCAGCCTCAACAGAAGAAACAAAGAAGGTTGCTTAGTGCTAGACAGAGAATTGTGGCACAGAGAGGTTTTATCAAAGCATCGCAAAAGGATACAATGCACCTCAAATGCAGATACCAAGCTCAGCAGCTACAGTTGTCTCGGTAGTACATGAAGTCACAGAATACAGTAAGTACCTTTGACCACTAATTCTGTCAAAAAATCCTGCTAATGGTAATTTTCAATTTAGAACAGTAACAAAAGCCAATGTTTTGCATTGTTAGTCTATTTTGAAAACACACCTGGCTGCAATCACTGCCCTGACTTGCTTTTCCCAATATTGCCTAATGCAAATTTAGCTTGTCAATATATTCATTCTGCCTTGTAAAATGTCTTTACTTTTTTTAAAAATACTATTTAAACATTGATCATGGTGAAGCAGTAACCAAAAGAGCCCTACAAGTTATTTTTTATATTGAAATAGATCTTTGATACTCTGATGCAACAGATTGTATTATAATGAGCATCACAAAACAAAACGTTCAACTAGTTCCCATAGTAGTTCATTATAATAAGCTTACACCATAGCAATAATCTTGATGTTGCAAGTGAAATCAGGTCTTCTTACATCTCAGCATTCATTGGCCTTAGTTTGGTGTTTACGACAACAAGACTGCAGCTTGAATTTATGAGGCTCAGTCTCTAAAACACTCATTGAAGTGACTGGCTGTAATAAACTTGAGAGTAATTTGCATTTTTAAAGGTAGAGATCCATCACTTTTAATAGCCATAAACTCTGAATCTGTCCTTAATCTACTCCATGCTGAGCCCCATGAAAAGAGGGGCTGATCTCAATCTCATCCTATGAAAATATAATTGCCTAATCCGCCCTCAGTGCTGTTTTTTGCTTCTCAAATTGCTCCCCTAAATTCTGCTAACTCAATAAGGGGCATTACTATAGAAATATAGGACTCTCAAACACAGCAGGCTCTGTGGATAAGTATCCTTACACAATGTACTACTGCCAGAGCTCTTTGTGATTAATGGTTCCATTCGGCATTGGTACAGATTATACCGAGACACAAAATACCCTACAGAGACCTCCATTACAGCACACACATTATCATTAAGCTTGTAATTTAACAATGAAGAAAAATCACAGAACTACCATTAAGCTGGATGCAATAATGGTAAAATCTTTGCTTCCTTTTTTTTTCAGGCACCATGCTCAGTATGATCACAGTTTAAAGCTACTGTTCCAAGACACCATTCTGCTTTGTGGTCTCAGGTTTTACTAGGTCAGGGTCACAGGCATGAGTATGGACGAGTCTAGAGAAACTCTTCTACTGTAGTTTAACACAAAGATCATGCAACTTCAGAAAGCAGTCCCTGAAATTTTAGGCAAATAAATCAGCACTGTGTATACTATCAATTTCTTGGAGTTTATCTGTACAACTACATAAGTAGTAGTAAAGTAAATGTCACAATGTAATATGGCCCTGTGAGCCAGCCACAGACCTTACATGTGAGGCCCCAGACATGAAGTAGTCTGAAGAGGACACAGGTAAGAGACTGATGACTTAGAACACTAAATTGCCATGTCACACCTATCCCATGTCACTTGCTCTAAGGGTGAGTATGATTTAATTCTCTTTTCTCTTTGCCCCTAACACAGGGGAGCTTATATCCACATCACCTACTGGAAGCAATCGTGTGCCCACAGCATCCAACTAACAGCACTGAGGCAGTGTCTGGGAGCGAGCCAGCAGATATGCACCAACAGTGAGCTAAGAGAGACCAACAAAAACTCTCTTCTCCGTACAAGCAACAGGCCTGATTCAGAGGTGTCAAAATAGTTTTAGCCAGGAGCTTCAAGTGAAGTCTCCCTAAATCTCCAAAATGGGTTTAGATCAGGGTTCTTTTAAATACACTCTGGCTTTGTGGATCAAGGTCATCACATACTGAATTTTCCAAATGCACAGCTCCCTGAAAGCATGATATCTGACACTTCCAATACATATTCGAACACTTATTAGCATCACCATTAACCTAGAACAGCTAAATAAACTTTTGCCCACTGAGTTCCAAGTACAAGAGTATTAACACCTATATACATTGAACAACTTATCTTTGGTGTCCAATTCACACTGAAGCAAATTGAATACAAAACAAAGACCATCCCAAAATAATATCAACTTTAAGACAATGAGGTCAGTTTTTTTCCTTGCTCTTTTTGTTTTTAATGCCTTAGGGTGATGTTTTCAAGATTTAGTCCTTCAAACCATCTGACAGACAAGGGGAAACATTATTTTTTGTTCTCATGCTGTGTTAGGCTATCACCTGTAGGGCTGTTTGCTCCTTGTTTCCACACAGGAAGCAGTTGCTGGTGCAAGCAAGTACCCCTACCTCCAGCTACAAGTAGGTTAGTTTAAACAGATTAAAAGGTCTTTATAGCCTAACTTGCAAGTGAACAACACACAAAGTCCCAGGGAGCTGGCAACAGTGAATTGATTACAATCATCTGTATTTGTCTTCAGGATATACAAACTGAGCATTGGAAAGCTGTCTTAGCAGCAGCAGAATAAATTGTAAGTAAGCAAACAGCAGCATCTGATTAGTTTTAGGAACAGGTGGAAGGCAGGGATTTAACAGGCCTCCTGATGAGCACCACGAAGGAAACTCTCACTGATAACAGCAGTGGTTGCTCATACAGAGCCACAAACATGGTGAGGAGTAGATGGGGAAAAACTACTCTATGCCTAGATTCTCTTTCAACAGGAGACAATACTGGAGTCCCTGAACTTCTATAAAGGTGGCAGACAAAGGTGATGCAGTGATCAAGACCGACCCCTGTTTGAAGAAAAAGCACTGCAGAGAGGAGAAGGAACACAACTATGGTGCAAGTTTTGCTTTTCAAAACTAAGGAAGTGTGTAACTCATACCTCATCTCAAGCATTATCCACTCACTAAGCTTTCCTTAAAGAACACAATTACCAAAATTTATTGGTCAACAGCAGCTTTCTCCACTTGAATATGTGTGTTCATGTTTTGTTATACTTTCAACTACTCAGACCTGTACCACTAACATAAAAGCATAATGAGAAGCCTGTTCTAGCTACCCAGTTGTAAAATTGTGATAAAGGGCTATATAGCAATACTATACTTCAAAAGGAATTAACCAGTCTTTTAGGCAATTAGTTAATGAAAACTTTCATCTTTTGCTGGGCCAAAATCAAACAAACAAACAAACAGTCTTGCCCTTCAAATGGTAAAAAGGTGCTGCTTAACAGAAGACACATTCTTGATGACAGCTATAAGCCACTTAGGGTAAGCTTATCATCTTCATCTCCAGCTTGCCGTTTTGCAGGTAGGAGTATGAATTACAGACAAAGTGTGACTGGGTGCCTTCTGGAAGGTGAAATGGGGAGCAGGCAGGCAGAGCCTTCCTTTAAGCATTTGCCTGAAGGTGTTGAGGCCACGGGAGAGACCAGCAGCACTTCTCCAGATACATGCTCAACTAGATTAGGTCTATGACTTTGCACAAGAAAGAGGGCATTTATAGCATTTGGATTTGCTTTCTGTCTTGGAGTCTGCGAAAGACATAAGAGACTTCTGAAGAGTTCTGTGCTGTTTTAATGAAAATGCCAAGCAAAGAATGCCTCAACATCTAAAGTTTTTGACATATGGCCATCACGTCCATGTTCCTTCCCTTTCCCCGCTGCTAGACTGCCTATTATTCAGTCTAACTTCTGAATTTGAAATGGATGGCAGAAACTATAATGCAATGAGTTACAGTCCATAAGAGACTATCCTTCATATTTAATGCCTGCTGCTGTTCCCCGAAAACAAAACTGACTGGATTTCAACATTTAGAGCAAAAAATTATTGGTGTTTTAGAATAAATTATTTCCTAATATAACACTGTATTTTTCGCAAGTTACCAGACTCTACAACTAGGTTAACCCACTAGGATTAACATGGCTCATCAAATCAACCAGATACACACATACAAGCATGCACATAAAACATGGTACTTCGTTAAGACACACAAATAATGACATGTACCAATCAGTTTTGCAACACAACCAAAATTCCATTCTAAAAATTGTTTTTGAAAACATGCATTTATCTAGATTGAAATGGGACAGAACTTCTCATTCTCAGTAGAGGACAAAAAAATCCCTACCAAGTACTTTTCTGTAAAGCTCTTTGCACAAGTTACACAAGAGATGTTCTTTTATAAAAATGCTTTAAGCTCAATGCTTCAATCTCATAAATCCTCAGAACAGAGGCAGCAATTCAGCTATGTTAATTTTTAAAAGCTTGATGGTTTATCATTTGTGCAGAGTTGTAAACATCAAAAACATATACTGAAATGAAGCAATCTTTGAAAAGTAACTCAACACAAAAAGTCAATAAACAGACCATATAAAAAACACCCATACCTCTTCAATAAAAATAATCAAAATCGGTAATAAAACAACTGCTTGAAAGCTTCATGCAACATGTTCTTAGATATTCAAGAACTACTACCAAAAAAGAAAGGAAAACAAAATAATGACAAAATGGCCTAATGCAAATAAAAGGTCACACATGATTGCATGCACTATGGAGCGATGTATTCTTTCAATAGTTGTACCTCATTTACTAAAAACCTGACAGAAGCACTGCTTTTATCATTTGCTAAAGTAAGATTGTTTAGGTAAGTTCTCTTGTTTTAAGAAACAAGAAATAAATATTTCTTCTCACAGGAAAAAATGTTCAACCATTTACTTTCCACATTTGAAGTCTTTTCACTCCCACTTAGATGAAGTACAGAAAATGACTTCAGAAGCTTGTTTTATGTGCAAAGTAATACATCAGTATAGAACATTCTTTCTTGCTCTTCTTTTTTTTTTTTTTTTTTTTTTTTTGAAACTGTACCTCTGTCTGGAGAATTTAGTAATGTTGCAGATGAGGAGGAGAGCCGCTTGTTAATGACTGGATCAACATGTTTCGAAAGGTTCATTGTTGAAACAGACCGCCTGTCTGGATCTAAAACAAATGGAGATAATGCTAATTGACAGCCCGCATGCTGTAGTGCAAGTTCCTAGCTCACTAGTGGGAGGAGGAAAACATGACTAGGTCACTCCTGCTCTACCACAAGAACTTTCAAAATAGAATGGACTTCTCAGCAGATGTTGTACAGGTGACTCAAAGACTGGGCACAAAACCATTTAAGTTAAGTTTCAAATGTCTAAAATATTCTGTTCATTTATTACCATTCAATCAGGTTGCAATCCAAGGACTTAATGGAGGTTCTAAAGTGGATATTAGTAGACAAGACGATGTTTCCTCATTCCTTTCAATATTCTCTCAAAAACCTTGCTCGTGACGTACAATAGAAAGCTTCAGTGAAAGACCAACATGCTTAGAAATGTGAGGTTATTCATTAAAAAAACCCCTTAGCACCTGAATGAAAGGTGACATTTGACAGGGCACTGTTACCAGGCAGAAGGTCAATATCATGACAATAAAATGCTAAAAGATTAAGGGAAGACTAGTGCAGAAGGGAAGCAAGGGTAAGCACAAAAGGAATTAAAAGATTTAGTTAAAAATCCCATAGTTATGTATAAGTGCTAAACTTCCCACCAGAGAGTCATTTTCTACCTGCTGTGAATGAAGTTGTAGTTAACCAATCCAAAAGAGCACACAGCTTAGCAGATAAAGGAAATGGATCTCTGTGGAAGGCTAGAGACTACCTGTAATGCACATGCTTGGTATATAATACTAAAGGGTTTTATTTTGCTTTTAGGTTCTGTACATTTTAGAGCAGTATTACATCATCTGCCCATGCAACTGCTGCAGAGTCAGCATGTGCACCCTACTGAGGGGGTGATAGTTATTTCAAGAATACAGATTGCACACACTTTGTGGACATGTGTGTGTGTCACGTGAAGGTTGCTAGCAATGGCAGAAGAGGACAAATGAGCTGAACAGGCCAGCTATATGCTTTCTGTTCCCTCAAAAAGGAGCTACATGCATCAACTACATGTCCTCTATTACAAATTTCTGTTTGGAAATCTGACATGTGGAAGATGCTGGAAGAGCCAATACTGCTTTTGCTTACATTTTCGCATGTACTAAACCCCAGCACTACTCAGCAAAGCATTCAACCATGCTGAAATGCAATGAGGCTTGAGAATATGCCTAAACGCACTGCTGATTCATATTCTGTGTGTGCAAAAATATGTCCACATACTGTTTTGGAAGCAGATACAAACTCAGGACACTAAGAACATTAAGGAGGACGTTGCTGAAATATTATCTGCAATTGTTTATTTATAATATCAGTATTGAATTTACCTGTTCTGACCTAGTGGATTAAAGTATACTCACTGTGTACAAAAAATTCTCATAGAAATACAGTGCATGAAAAATACATTTGCTCTCGCCAGATCTATGAACTATATAGGATTCACTATAACTGGCTGGGGTGAAGAAAGATGCACCCCTACCCCATGTGATTATTTGCTCACTTTGTCTAATGTTAGAATGACTCAGTGAGGGTATAGAACCAGCGAACTGAGTCCTGGAAGGGGGATAAAACCCCATCAGAAATGGGTTTTAAAAAGAGAAACCTAAATGTTATAGCTAAGAACAAGACCTCTGGAGGCTGTCAAGTTTATTCCACATTGATCTATGGGATATATTGAAGAGTGCTGTGTGCGAGTAAGTACTAGAGACAGGATAATCGGGCTTCATGTGTCACAGATCTTTGTCAGAACAGTATTTGTGGGAATGGGATGGAGATTTTGATCTCTTATATCTAATCTATAGCTGAGAAAATGTATAGTATATCAGTACAGCCAAAAAGTTCCCACACTGAGCATAAAGGATGTACTGTATAAAACAGCTTTCTGAAGATGACAAATGACAATGTGAAAAATCATCTTGTATTTGGCATGCCAACATTTCTCTTGTGTTTATGAACATTATTTAAATGAATGAAATTCAGCATGAGGATTTGTGTGTAAGTGTTGGCAATATGAATCCTATAAATGTAGAATAGGCCAAATGCAATCCATCGCCTAGAAGATTGCTGGTTTCTTTGTTCTAAAAAAAGAATTAAAATAACCATGAACAACACATCAGCCAGTGCAACTGGTTATACATCTGTGCTCATGTGGAAAATAATTGTAAATCCTGTGTATATGTAGTATGCCAAAAGGATTTTAGAAAAGACCAAAATATTCAGAATGGGTCTTGAATTCCAGTAGACAGAATATTATGCTTCATTTCAGTGAATTGTGCCTAATCTTTAGAGTCAGCCAGTAGTAAGTCTCCATAGTAAAAATAAATAATAATGAAAAAATCTGGTACTAACAACAGTTCTAATCTATCAGCATGATGTTAAGCATGCATTGCAACTACATGAGGGTGGTTTAGTTACTGATGATCTCATTTCCTGAGAACTAGCTATGGGTAAAGGAATCAACAAACCACAGCAATTATGTACCAGGTTTTCTAGCACCACCCAGAGATCTGAAGTGGTGCTCCAGGCCTGCTAAATCGAGAAAGGTGAATGATGATTCAAAAAAATAACCTAGGGACAGAATGCAAGACAATGATTTTTCACAGTGAAGAAAATAAAAATAAAATAATTTATACAGAGTTAAGCAAAAAAGTAACCTTTTATGAAAAATAACTGTTTATTGAACTTATATATGACAATTATTTCAGAGCATTCTTTTCTCAACTTTTTTCCTCCTTGATGAAAGGTTGGACACATTGAAATGTATACATTAGAGTAGGAAGAAGAGAATTCTAAGTACCACCTTCTGATGAAAGAAATAAAGGACAAGTTCTCTTTTTTGGGTCTGAGTAATATTTAACAGGGCATATACACATTAATGATTGGCAGATTAAGTTAGAGAGGGTGACTGGGGAAAAAAAGCACATAGCTAGAATTCACATAAACTCAGTTTGCCCATCTTTAAGTTCTTCTAGGGGAAAAAAGGGACTTCTATCTCCCAAAATACCTGTACAAGGTACAGACAGCTTATTACAAAGAATAATTTTTCTTCCTTGTGTCTGTTTTAATCTTAGTGTTTGGTCACTTCTGCCAGACCTACTTTTTGAGCCATGATATTTAGCATTTGCACACAGTAGCTCATATCACAAGATTGACACAGCACAAGCACACCAGCATACACACACAAACAACAGCAAAGCAGCAGAAGCGAGAAGCTGTAGCAAGATAGAGTTACACAATTAGTCAACTCCTGAAACAAGTTATAACTTTCGTTCAGATTTCTCCTTGTTATCTTTTTGCTACACAAGAATGTCAGAAACATGCCATTGCTAGCAATAATAAGATCAAGAGCAAAGAATTTAAACCAGCATACACTGAATGATCCTTCCTTTTAACAGAAGCAAAGTAAATTCCAGTTAACTGGCAGGGCAGGGAAACCGGCTAGCAAAGCAAGCCTCCCTCTTTACCTGTGTTATTAATGCGGTTATGTAGCGCTCCTCCCCAGGACCACCTGTTTTGCTTTTGTTTTGGCTTCTGGCTTCTTTCAATTGTGCGACGTACAACAGCTTCATGTCGTTCCTTAAGTACAACAGGATAATACATTTGGATACTATTGGGTTTTTAACTTAATCTCATCAAGCCCTGCTACCCTTCACACAGACAAAACGTAGCAGGCATCTTGGAGTTGTGTTCAAGCTTATGTGCTGCCTACTAAGACAAACAGTAGAATAGGATTAAGTAGCAATTAAGCCATAAATAAGTTAAAATATTAACTGTAAGCTTGAAAAGGTAAGATGTGTTTGAGATCTGCAGAGAAAAAAACAGTGACCATGTTACTGCAGCCACAGTACACAAATATACCCTAGAGCTACTTCCCACCTTGTAACTCCCACCTACTAAATACTAGAAAAGTGGGAGAGGTAGGAAACAAAAAATACACAAGGATGAGCTGACTTATGTAGGATCACACTGCACCTAGCTCCCAGCTTAACCAAGACAAATCAGTCAAGAGCACATTTCATTACACACTCACTTTCTTAAAGGTTTTGTTAGGGTAACTAATATGTAGCTACCCTTACACTGAATGGCTAAGAATTAAGAGAACCATAAGAAACGAACCCAATTTATATTTTTTCTGCATGAGTTTGTGCAGTGCTATACACTGTAACCCAGATATGCTCAGCTTAGCTGCATTCGATTCATAAAGGGCACTTTAAGAAGCAGTATCTGTGCAAGCAAGGCTTAAAATCCTCTTTCACATGCGCTCTCATACTAACCATGACTTACGTTGCATTCTTTCCATCAACTCTTAAAGAAAAAGTTTGATAGTACCATATCATATGGTAAAAGCAAGCTGAAAAGTGTTTTCATGACTTTTATTCTTACCTTATCTTCTTCTATTCTCTGCCTTCGCTTTTCTTCTACAGCAGCTCGCCTCCTCTCTTCCTTTAATCTCTGCTCTTCTAGCTTCTTTCTGCGTTCCTCTAGGTGTTTTTCATAATGTTGCCGGGCTCTCTCTTCTCTTTCTAACCAGATGGATTCTCTTGCAGCTGTGAGAAAAATCAGAAGTAAAAGCATTAACATGCTATATGTGATGAAGTCTTTAATATAATTTGAATAACCAAGCTGAATGGAACAACTTTTAAACTCATCTTCTTTAGGAGACATACGTAATACCCTAATCTCTCCTCATATATTAAAACATCATGTACCCTGGTGACACATTCATTTCATTTCATTTACTATGAATTACCACCAGAAATAGTTAAATTAGTTGAGCATATAGTCTCTATGTGGAAGAAGGGATTTTTTTTTTTTTTTTAGTTTAAAATACCTAAAAACTTAAGTCAGATGTAAGTGAACACAATTCTGTTGCACAAACAACAAAATATTCTCTGTCATCTTTTACTGTAGAAAGAAAGATAAAACTATCACTGCTATATACCTTTACTGGTCAATACAGATCTCTTAGGACAGAAGTAGCTGGGATGACAATTTTAGCACTTGGACTGTTAGCTGTACCAACAGGTGACCAGAAGGAAACAAGTTACCCACCAAACACTTCAGTCTAAACATGAACTTTAATCTGCCATATAACTCCACGGCTGCAGAGCTCTGAACAGCACATTTCAGAAGTACTAATTAACACAAATCAAGAAGCACTACGAGACTGATTTTGCTCCCCATCAGGGTCTGAATTTTCGTGAAGGTACTATCTGGAACACAGGCTTAAACTGTAGTCCACATGAAACCATTTATATATGATACTCTGGACCTCTCCTCATTGCTGTCTTGAAAGCTTCAGGTCCCAGAAATTTTCTGTTCTAAAAAAACCCCTGTTACTTGCTTTTAAAAAATCCTAGACATTTGATACCTCTGGATCCTCATGAACTGACAGATGGGAGTGCAGGAAGAGATGCATGTGAAGGTCATGAGACAAACATCACCAAGAACCACATTAGAAAACCATACACAGAAAGAACTCATTGATAACACAGCAGCAACAGGGAACCAGGACAGCAAAGTGTCAAAAAGACTTTCAATTTCCGAGGCCAGCAATTTAAGACGTTCTCTACCTAAGTCTAAGAGTATTTTTAAAATTCCATTGGGGCGGGGGTGGGAGAGCCTACTGTTATAATCACGTACTCTAGAATGGCAACTCCAGCCTTCAATTATCAGAAATATTTGTGTTGACACAACCACATACCAAAACCAAAAAACCCCAAATGCTTCTAGGTGTTCAGAGCAGACACTGCAACTGCTTCTTGTAACACTAAGACTCCTCTTCACCAAACTGCTCTTCTGCACTTTCGTGCCTAACTCAAACAAATGCCACCTCACCTAATAAAGAACTTGGATTGCACTCTAAACCTTATGTACTTGCATACGCATTCATGAAAAACCTCCACCCTGAGTAGACCAGTTCATATGTAGAGTATCTCCCTTAAGAAAACAGCTCTCTACCATTTCAAATCTCAAATAATTTGCTAAGAAATGCAAACAGCGTGTTCAGCTTTGCTGTGGTATGCAAACTAACAGAGAGATGTTTGTTCAGCAGCTACGAGCAACCATAAGGCACCCTCTTGGCAAGATGGGTGAAAGTTCAGCAAGATGTTTGCAGGAAATTTAACAATCATAGCTAGAATAATGTACAGTTGCTTAGATAATTTCTAACAATAGGTGTGAAAAGTGACACCTACAAATGTAAAATACTAATGCAGGGTCCACCAGAAGATTTACAGAAATACTTTTCTATGCTAATTTAGTTAAGTGACTTGAAGGAGAAATGCGAACTGTAGACTAAGGCAGAAAATAGCAGAACACGGCAGAAAATGCAGCTTCCAGGCCAACTGAAATCTGCAAAGGCTCCTTCTTCTATATTAAAGCCTTACAACATAACAAAATAAACACAAAAATTGGTGTTCCAAATGCCAGACTAATTTGTAAACCAGAAACACGCATCTGCTGCCCCTTCCTGGGAGCCAATAGCTCACCAAGAGAATGGATGGACAGAGAGATGACTCTTACTATGGTCTGCTCTTCTCCTGGAGCTATATAACCCCTCATGATGCTGTCTTTCTATTACCCAGGTCCAGAGAAGACTGAGCAAAGGGCTTACTCTGAGCCCTAAGACTCCAACAATTGCGTTACATCCTGAACAGCTGAAGTGTAAGACATGTCGCCTCTGAGGTACTGGCCTCCTCTTTTTGTCTTTGCCTTCTGCTTAACAGTCTAACTTGGCTAACCAATGCCTTGGGCAGAACCACTGTCAGCGTGCCACCAGAAAGGTAGTGATTTTTGCAAATCTTGTTCTTCCTACTAGCTTCTGCAGAGTTGGATTGCACAATAGGGTCAGCCCAAGAGTAGGCAGCCACATCAATGAACTGTACTGCTCTTTCCACTTACTCTATGCACATTTATCTTGTTTTCATCAGCAAACGAGGATAACTTTTTTTTAAAAAAAAGAAAAAAGAAAAAGAGATACTTATTATATTTAATACCATCTAAAAGCTGGCAGAAGACATTCCTAAAGTTCTTACACTTAAAGGGAAAAAGAATAAAGAGTATCATTAATCTTTGATTTCTGCACTGCAAACATTTCATGTTAATGCCTTCTTTCTCCTGAATCTTTGATGAAAATTTCAGAGAAAGTTAACACTTATTATTACAGGATAGGAGCACTTCAGATATCCCTATTCAAAGCACACACATTACCCATTTTGGTGAGGTTTCATGACCATTTTAAACAAAGAGCTGGCTGACACCAAGAGAAGCAGCATTTACCCTCCTCTAGGCCCTGAGTTTGTACTCCTCCCCATGCTGACAATGTTGCTCACGGGACTGAGATCAGATGGACCAAGGAAACAACCTTGTTAAAACCAGGTTGCTTCCATGCCTTTTTTCTTCCAACACTCTTAGCTGCAGATGCTCACAGTGGAAACTGGTCAGCCTGGGCAGATGGGTAAGCAGAGTGGGTTTAGGGGGTTCTGAAACCAGAAGAAGCCTTGAGGCAGAAACAGGACTGCTGGGGAGTGTAGCACAGCCTGCTTGAGCTCTCCTGAAGTGAGACAGGGCTCGATAGTTTGCTGAATTTGACAGCAGGTCAATGCAATACATGCAGAGAAGCTGATATCACCTTGTTCGCACCAGACTAATTCAAACCCACCCTACACCTAAAAGGAAGGTTACAGAATATGGCTTCTCTGTATTTCACAGATTTAAGAAAGCCTCTGCCCCAAGCTTTCAGTCATGGCCTAATTCCACACCCATTAAATTCAAAAGTTTTTGTCTCATCTTCAAAGACCTCTGCAGGTCTGTTCTGAGCAGTACCACGTCCCTGTTTCTCTGACAAGTCATATCCCCAGCTTAGGATATGTTTTCTCCAAAAATCAATTTTCTCCTCCATCAACAGAACCAATTACTACATACTGGACACCTGTCTGAAGACAGAAGTTTCACAAAAGGCACAGTGAGGCTGGGAAATCATGCCTATTACTCATGAAGACACAAAAGGAAAGGAAGATACATTCAGAGCCTGAGTTTACAGGCCTGAACAGGTAAAATATTTCACTTCATAAAACCAAATTTCAACAGAACTTAATTAATAATACACTGTGAACAACACAATACTTGTAATAATTTTTTCCCATTTCAAGTCTAAGTTTTTATCTTCATTTTTTTCCTCAAATAATTGTTCATTAGTGCTAGACTGCAGTAATGTTAAATAACTTAAATGCCATTCCTGGAGGATGTGATATTACTCTCTTCCTTCTGTTCTTTCTGCATAATTACTTCCCACAAAGCTTCTCCTGCTAGTTTTCACCTTCTGAACTGTTTCCTATTTGAGCCTACTGTTATGTTTAATTTCTGATACAGAAATATTTAGAGGATTTGTTTCAGTTCTGAGGATAGTATTGCACAGATACATGTAAATGCAGAACTTGTAATATTTTAACTTTAAAAGGTATATGAATTTATGGACTTACTTTATTCTAACATGCACAAACTATAATAATGAGTTTTAATTTCCAATCTTTATTATTCATCTATCTGTAGATATCACAGAAATGGATCTTGGGGGAAAAAAAAAAGAAAAAAAAAAGACAATCATTCCCTATGCTCCTCTTAAACTGGAGTCCATTTCATTTATTGCATACAAAATTTGCAAAATTTGATCTTTGTTATAAGCTTTAGCTTCCCTAGCTAACCATTCA